CGAGAACGGCGGTTGCGCAACTGATAGGCACCGGCGGGGGGTAGCCAGCGCTCCGCGAACGCCGCCGCTGCTTCCTCGCGCGGCGGTTCTGAGGCTGATAACTCCCAGCTGTTTATACTATAGGAAACCCGTCAAATGTCGAACTTTCGCAGAAGAGACCATCCGAGTGACACGAGAAGGGTGCTAGGCGCGTTTGCGAGAAACGACTCAAGCGTTTCGCAGCCTAGTGATAAGGACGGGGAGCAACGACAGCTGATTGTGACAACGCCGCCAGTAGCGGGGTCGAGCCAGCGAGGGGAGAGGATGGTGCGTTATCAGATAAGCTGATGCATTTCGACCTAGATTCCTCCGAAGCGTCTTTTCCCACAGTCGAGTTCAGCGGCGACGCGGCCACTGGCAATGATGACCTGGTTATAGACATTGCTGACGTGTCATGCTGTTGTTTCCCGCGAATCAAACGCTCGAGTTATCAGTCCAGTAATAGCCGCGACGGTTCCGCCGCCGCCGCCGCCGACTCCGCCGCCTCCGCCGCGTGCTTCCCCGGCGCAGGGGGAAGGGGAACGCGGCAGCGCGGAAACAGTGTCCAGTGGGCGCCGTCAGCGGCGGCGACAGGCGGAGGCAGGGATGGAGGCGGCAGCGCCGGAGGCGGCTTCGGCAGCGGCAGCGGCGGCGGCGTAGTGGCGGAGGAAGAAGAAGACGGGGAAGGGGATGCGCGGAAGGGATTTTCGCGGTGGACTGTACGCGCCGTGCAGTTATTCGGCCTTGCGCCGGGATGGGCGCAACTCGCCTTGCGCATGTGCTGGTTGGCGCTGGGACTGGGAATCGCGGTGCTGGCGTTCTGGGGGAGCTACGTGGCGCAGCGCAACAGCGCAAAGGTACAGCCTTTGGGGGGTGCGGAGGGACAGACGCAGCGCAACAGCGCAAAGGTACGGCGTTCGGGGGGTGGGGAGGGACAGACGCAGCGGAACAGCGCAAAGGTACGGTGTTCGGGGGAAGCTGGCGCAGTGGAACAGCGCACAGGTACGGTGTTCGGGGGAAGCTGGCGCAGTGGAACAGCGCAAAGGTACGGTAGCGCAGCGGAATAGTAGCGCGAAGGTACGGCGTACGGGTGAAACTGGCGCAGCGGAACTGCGCAAGCGTGCGATAAGAAGCTGGCGCAGCGGAACAGCGCGAAGGTACGGCGCTTGGGGGAAGCTGGGGCAGCGGAACAGCGCGAAGGTACGGCGTTTGGGGTAAACTGGGGCAGCGGAATAAGCGCAAAGGTACAGCGTTGGGGGGAAACTGGCGCAGCGGAACAGCGCGAAGGTACGGCGCGGGGGGGGGGGGGAGAGAGCGGCGCAACGGAACAGCGCAAAGGTACGGTAGCGAAGCGTGATTCAACATGTGTTTCAAGCATCTCCTCGTCCCCTCCCCACATCCCCACGTCCCCTGCCGCCCGTCCTTTTCCCCCACGTCCCCTCGTCCCCTCCCGCCACCGAACACTCCCTGGCCCTCATCCCCCCTCCCCACGCCCCCTGTCACTCTTCGCCATCTCTCACGCCCCCTGGCCCCCTCCCCCTCTTCCCTCTGCCCCCCCCCTCTCCTCCCCTTCCCCCCCCCCCCCCCCCCCTCTCTTCCCCTTCCCTCCCCATCCCCACGCACCCTGCCCCTCTTCCCCAACCCCCACGCCCCGTGGCCCCTTTCCCCTCCCCCTCTCCGTTCCCCCGGGCAGGAGGCCATAACGAACCAGTGCATTGACTGGGCGGCACAGACGTGATGCAAGCGTCCCCAACTTCCTTCCCCCCCTTCTCCCCTCCCCCCCTGCCCTCCCCTCCCACCTCCCCCCCTTCATTACTCCATTCCCCCCCCGCCACTCCGGCCAGGAGGCAGTAACGAACCAGTGCATTGACTGGGCGGCGCAGGTGCAGATCACGTTCCAAGGATTCTCACGAGTTAGCAATCCCACGCGCCTTTTCGCTCCTTCCTCCTACTAAACCACGCCCCCCGGCAGGAGGCGGTAACGAACCAGTGCATCGACTGGGCGTCTAAGGTGCAAATCACATTACTTTTCAAGAATTCTCACAAGCATTCCCTCTTCCTCCCCCCACGCCGCTTCTTCCCCTCCCCCCTCCCATCACTTCCACCACGCCCCCCGCCAGGAGGCAATAACGAATCAGTGCATCGACTGGGCGGCTCAGGTGGAGATTACGTTCCAAACGGCGTCGCAGGAGGTGGGTGCTCTGTATGTGTGTGCGGCGTGGGCGTGTGGGTGGGCGTCTGGGTTGGTTGCATCGACTGGGCGGCTCAGGTGGAGATGACGTTCCAAACAGCGTCGCAGGAGGTAAGGGTCCCGAGCGCAGGCGTGGGTGTGGGTGTGGGTGTGGGTGTGGGTGTGGGTGCGGGTGTGGGTGTGGGCGTGGGTGTGGGCGTGGGTGTGGGCGTGGGTGTGAGCGTGGGTGTGGGTGTGGGTGTGGGTGTGGGTGTGGGTGTGGGTGTGGGTGTGGGTGTGGGTGTGGGTGTGGGTGTGGGTGTGGGTGTGGGTGGGTGCGCAATCTTGGTTATGTTTCTGTATAGTCGCCTATTAGCTCGCGTCCTAACTCCTCTTGTCTCCCACCGCCTCTGTCTATGGCACTGCACTGCACTGCACGCATTGTGCTGTGCTGTGCTGTGCTGTGCCGTGCTGTGCATGTGCGTGTGCGAATGCATGTGCGTGTGCGTTTGCATGTGCGTGTGCGTATGCATGTGCGTGTGCATATACTGTGTGAATACATGTGCGTATGCGTGTATTCTGCGAGTGGTGGGTGCAGGTTCAGCTGCTGTCAAGCCTTGTGACTGTGTTTTACTTCGGGAAGCAAGGAGACGCCCGACTAGACGAGGTACTGTAATGAACTACTGCCATGCTCCCTTGCTGCCATGCTCCCTTGCCCGCAATTATGGCTGATAGCCTGTGTTGTGGAGTGTTGAGTTGAACGATTACTCGGTACACGCGTCCGCCCACACACACGCGCATGTGCACGCATGCCCACATGCAAATACGCATGCCCCATGCAAATACGCATGCCCACATGCAAATACGCATGCCCACATGCAAATACGCATGCCCCATGCAAATACGCATGCCCACATGCGCATACGCATGCCCACATGCAAATACGCATGCCCACATGCGCATACGCATGCCCACATGCAAATACGCATGCCCACATGCAAATACGCATGCCCACATGCAAATACGCATGCCCCATGCAAATACGCATGCCCCATGCAAATACGCATGCCCACATGCAAATACGCATGCCCACATGCAAATACGCATGCCCCATGCGCATACGCATGCCCACATGCGCATACGCATGCCCACATGCAAATACGCATGCCCACATGCGCATACGCATGCCCACATGCAAATACGCATGCCCACATGCAAATACGCATGCCCCATGCAAATACGCATGCCCACATGCAAATACGCATGCCCCATGCAAATACGCATGCCCACATGCGCATACGCATGCCCACATGCAAATACGCATGCCCACATGCGCATACGCATGCCCACATGCAAATACGCATGCCCCATGCAAATACGCATGCCCACATGCAAATACGCATGCCCCATGCAAATACGCATGCCCACATGCGCATACGCATGCCCACATGCAAATACGCGTGCCCGCATGCAAATACGCATGCCCCGTGCAAATACGCATGCCCACATGCAAATACGCGTGCCCGCATGCGCATGCACATACATACCTTTCTCCAAGAGCCCACGTTCCCCGACTACATCAACCAGACGCACCTCTCCCGCCATTTTGCCTGCTTTTGCATGCCCCACCTCCCCCACACTTCCCCCCCACGTGCCCCCACGTGCCCCCACGTGCCCCCACGTGGCCCCCCCCCCCCCCCCCCCCCCCCCCCCCCCCCCCCAGCCCACATTCCGTGACTACATCAACCAGACGCAATTTGCACGCCCCTTTTCCTGCCCTCTCATGTTCACCCTCGCCTCCTACCTGTCCCCCGTGTCCCCACGTCGCCTCCCCCCACCTCTCAACAGCCCTCACGCCCCTTCGCCTCCAACGTTGGCTTCGCTCCCTTCCTACTTCTCCATCACACCAGCTCATGCGCTCTTCCAACTCCTTCCTCCCCCCCCCCGCCCTTGGCCACCCACCTCAACACCTTGTCCCCCTCGGCTGCCCCCATTGTGCGCCCCCCTGCAACCACCCACCAGCCCACGTTCCGAGACTACGTCAACCAGACGCAATTTGCACGCCCCTTTGCCTGCTTTTGCATGCGCCGCCTCCTGAAATCACCCCCCACATTCCCCCTCTAAACCCCATTCGTGCTCCCCTCACCCCCCACCAGCCCACGTTCCGAGACTACGTCAACCAGACGCAATTTGCACGCCCCTTTGCCTCCAACGTTGGCTTCGCTCCCTTCCTCAACAGCTCTGAACGGCCCGCATTCGAAGCACTGATGCAGCGGAAACAGGAGCAGCAGCGGCAACAGAAGGAGGTTTTTAACAGCTGTATTCAGTGAGTAGTGTTTCCAGTCACTTCCGTTTGCATGCTCTCACGCACACGCACGCGCTCCAATTGGTGCTCTGGAGAGGCAATGCTCAACACCAACGTGATGTCTGAGGCCACTTTTGGTCGACTCAAAAGGTGACTTCTGACTTTTGAGTCGGCGCAAAAGTCACCTTGGTGCTCTGGAGAAGCAATGCGCAACAGCGTAATGCCAGAGGCCCCTGGAACCAGCAATGTCTGACGCACCAAAAGAAGTAATGCTCCATACCCCTCCGTCCGTACCCTTCCGCACTCCTCCATACCCCTCCATAGCCCTCCGTACCCCTCCATACCCCGCTGTACCCCTCTGTACCCCTCCGTGCCACTCCCCTCCCATCCCATTCCCCACCCAGCGCCCCTAACGCCTCCTGCATGCCACAGAAGCCACTCTACGCGCCTCTAATCTTCACTGACCGCTTCGTGCCCTCACCCGGCCAGTCCTTTCTGGGTCTCGACATGCTTTCCAGTGAGTTCGTGTTTTGAGACGTCTCAAAACTCGTCATGCTTTCCAGTGAGTTCCCTCCACCTTCCCTTGCTGCTAGAGTCCTTTCCACCACCTCTTGTCTTGTGTTGAGCATGCTGTGAAATATACACTTCTTTCCAACCCTCGTTGCTGCTCCTAATGGAGCCCTATCTTACTCCCACCCCGTCCTTCTCCCACCCCATTCTTCTCCCACCCCATCCTTCTCCCACCCCATCCTTCTCCCACCCCATCCTTCTCCCACCCCATCCTTCTCCCACCCCATCCTTCTCCCACCCCATCCTTCTCCCACCCATCCTTCTCCCACCCATCCGTCTCCCACCCATCCTTCTCCCACCCATCCGTCTCCCACCCATCCGTCTCCCACCCATCCTTCTCCCACAACTCCTCCGTCTACCGCAACTCCTCTGTCGCCTCTGTTGCTTCAACCCTCACCCGCCCGCCCTCTACCCTCCCCTTCCCTTCCGCTTTTGCAGTTCCTGAGTTGAAAGCAGCTGCTCACAAGGTTCCCCAAGCAGGTCCGGCAGGGCTGTTGGCACCACCACCGGTGGGACAATACCGGGACGTGGCAATCAAGCTCTCCCCCGTCTACCGCAACTCCACTGCTGCTGCTGCTGCGGCTGCAGCTGCAGCCCTCACCCGCCCACACACTCTACCCTCCCCTCCCCTTCCCTTCTCCCATGCAGTACCCGAGTTGAGGGAAGCTGCGAGGAACGTTGCCCAAGCGGGCCCGTCAGGGCTGCTGGCAGCACCACCAGCAGGGCAGTCCCGGGACGTGGAGATCAAGCTCTTCCCCGTCTACCGCAACTCCTCCTGTTGCTGCTGCTGCTGCTGCTGCCGCCGCTGCTGCCGCCGCCGCTGTTGTTAACGGTGGTGCCGGAGCTGGTGGTGCTGCTGGTGCTGCTGGTGGTGCTGCTGGTGGTGCTGCTGGTGCTGCTGCTGTGTTTGATCCGGGTGCTGCTGGAAGTGCAGGGGCGGGAGAAGGAGACCTGGGCAAGGGAATAGGAGGGCTCATTGTGGCCACCTTCAACACGACCAGCATGTGGGCCCCCGTCTTCAAGGTATTCTTCTCTGCTGCTGCTGCTGCTGCTGCCGCCGCCGCCGCCGCTGCCGCTGCTGCTGCAAGTGCAAGCAAATGAGCAGGCTCGTTGTTGTGTGCGTATGCATATTCACCTGCTTGCTCTCCTGTTGCTTGCTTCTCGCTTCTCCCTCCCGTCCTCCCTTCTCCCTCTCCTTTCCTCCACCACTCTTTGTCGCTTTTTTTTTGTCTTTCCTTTTCTTCCTCCCCTCCCTCTCTCGCCTCCCCTCCCCTTCCCTTTCTTCGTCCTCCCACATCCATTCCCCTCCAACCAAACACTCGCACCACCACACTCACATCACATGCTGTGGTGGGCTGTGTGTCTGGTGCTATGGTGTGTCTAACCACACTCAATGGGATGGCAGGTGCAAGCTGATTGCTTTGACGCTATGACCACCCCTCCCTCCCCTTGACCCCCTCGTTCCCCATGCCCCCCTCGTTCCCCATGGCCCCCCCCCCCACACCCCACCTCCCCTGCCCCGCCTCTCCTCCTCCCACGTCCACCCACGTCAGCAGACACACCACCCGCTAACAGCTGCAGTGGTGGGGCGTGTGTTTGACTCCTCCCACGGCCAGCGGCGGCTGGTGCAGGCGGGGTGCAGGAAGGGGGTTGAGGCGTGCAGCAGCAGCAATGGCACGGCGGACGGCGCCTTTTTGGTGGAGAGCCGCCCGCTGGGCCTTGGGAACTCCGTTGGTGCTTTCGAGCTGGAGTGCGCGTGAGTGCCATCCTTTGCTGCTTGAATGAAAGGGGGGGGGGGATGAGGCGGCTTGAAACGCGTTCGTGCTTTCGTTCAAGCTGGAGTGCTCTACCTGTGGCCGTCCGTGTGGGCGCTCTGCTGCCACCTCATGCGCCTAAAATGTCTGAACACTCCCTTCTCCTTTGTCTCCACCCCTGGCCTGACCCCCTGGCCTGACCCCTTGCTCTCTCTCAACCACCCTCTCTCTGCTCCTCCGCCCAGCTACGACACCCCGCCCGTCTCCTACCTCTGGCCATCCCTCTGGGCGCTGTTCGTGCTCGTCGTCTAATTGTTGCTGGCCTCCTGTCCCGACCCCCTCTCCTGACCCCCTGACCTGCCCCCTTGCCTTCCCTCACTGCCCTCCCCCTTCTCCCTACTCTTCTTTTCCGTCCACCCTCCTGCCCTTCCTCCACACAGCTACAACCCCCTCTCCCCCCATGACCTACCTGTGGCCGTCCCGCTGCGCGCTGTTCGTGCTCGTGGTCTATTCGCTGCTGGCCTCCTGTCCTGACCCCCTCTCCTGACCCCCTCTCCTGACCCCCTCGCCTGACCCCCTCGCCTGACCCCCTCGCCTGACCCCCTCGCCTGACCCCCTCGCCTGACCCCCTCTCCTGACCCCCTCTCCTGACCCCCTCGCCTGCCTCCCTGCCCTCCCTCACTGCCCTCCCCCTTCTCCCTGCTCTTCTTTTCCGTCCACCCTCCTATCCTCCATGCAGCTACGTCTCTTCCCCCGTGACCTACCTGTAGCCGTCGCTCTGGGCGCTATTCGTGCTCGTAGTCGACTCGCTGCTGGCCTCCTGTCCTGTCCTCTGACCTGCCCCCCTGCCCTCCATCACTACCCCCAATCCTGCCCTCCATGCAGCTACGACACCCCTCCTGTCTCCTACCTCGGCCCGTCCCTCTGGGCACTGTTCGTGCTCGTCGTCTACTCGCTGCTCGCGCTGGCCGTGTGGGCCGTGTGCTGCCACCTCGTGCGACTAGAGCGAGACTATCAGCGCATGCAGCGACTCAAAGACAGGATGAAGGCGGCCAAGCAGGTTGCAGAGCATGCTGCCAAGGCCAAGAGCAACTTCCTGGCTGTCATGAGCCATGAGCTGCGCACACCACTGAACGCCGTTATAGGTAAGTGCGTGTGGGAGGGGGCTGGGGAAAGTGGACTTTTGAGGCGGCCTAATACATGCCGCCAAGGCCAAGAGCAACTTCCGTTTTGAGATTCTGTGTGATTTCCTGCTCTTTTGGCTCCGCAACAATTCCTGTTCTCACGGTGCATCCTTGTATTGTAAATGTGTGCATTGAAACTGCTCACGTCTCTGCATCGCATCCTGCCTCTCATGTCTCTCTGTCACCCATGCCGCCAGGCACGATGAATCTGCTGGTGGACACGCCTCTTGTCTTGACGCCACTCAGCTTCGCAGCGCCAAGACAACTCAAGGCACCAATGTGCGGGTCAACACGTGTCATGCGTGCCCACTAGTCTGCACCCATCTCTCCATCTCTCCATCCTCTTTCCATTTTTCCTTCTCTTTTCACCCAACCGCCAGGCATGATGAATCTGCTGGTGGACACGCCCCTAGACGCCACGCAGCTGGATTATGCCGAGACGGCTCGCACCAGCGGGCGGGCGCTCGTGTCTCTCATCAACGACATCCTCGACCTCTCCAAAATCGAGGTGCGCTCTTCTGATAACCGAGGGACACCCTTGCAGGGGGGGCGGCACTCGCACCAGTGGGCGGGCGCTCGTGTCTCTCATCAACGACTTCCTCGACCTCTCCAAGAACGAGGTACGCTCTCTTTATGGTAAGGCAGGTAGCTTGTTTCCTGCTTGAGTTGAGCTCCTCGACAAGCCCCGCAGGGTGGCAAGTGCACCAGCGGGCGGGCGCTCGTGTCTCTTATCAACGACATCCTCGACCTGTCCAAGATCGAGGTGCGCTTTATATGAACATCGAGGTACACTTAAGGGTGGAAAACGAGTACTAAGTACTCGAGTACTATTCGTCGAATGGCATATTGACGAGTTTTGGTCGAGGCGAATGTCTGCCTAAAAACGCGAATACTCGGCTCTCGAGTACTCGAGAAGCCGAGTACTCGAGAGTCGAGTACCCGAGTACTCGGTTTCCTATTCGTCAAAGCGTATTCCCCCCACTCTCCCCCCCTCCCCCCCGGTATTCCCAACAAGGATTGTTTTCGAAGGAGTCACGGGTCACAGTGGAAGAATTGCCATGTTTAGGGTTACGGGCCAGTTTTTGGGAACTAAGTGGGAGTACGAAAAGAAGGATTTCAACGTTTAGGGTTTGCTTCCTCTGAATCCGTGGTCAGATCCACTAAACGCCATGTGTTTTTAGGTTCTGGGAATAAGCTTAGCTTCTCTCTGTGTCGACTGGACCTAAGCAAAGTATCGAAAAATTACACAGGAACACACGCACGCGCAACCCTTAGAAGATGGCGTGTGCAGCCGTTTGGCACAAACAAGGCTGTTGAAGCAGGAAACGCTCTGCTCAGCTGAGTCAATTATTCGTGCGGCCACCGCACTCAACTAACACGTGGAACAGGTGAACGCACGAACGGGTGGTGCTGACAAAGACATTTCAGCGCACAGCACAGCACAGCATTCGATCGTGCACGCACGACAGAGCTGTGCTGATCGCGAAATGTAAGCGAACAACACAGCTCCCGATCGTGAATGCACGACGGAGCTGTGCTGATCGCGAAACGTAAGCGAACAGCACAGCTCCCAATCGTGAATGCACGACGGAGCCGTGCTGACTAGGAAATCTAAGCAACCAGCACAGCTCCCAACCGTGATTGCACGACGGAGCTGTGCTGATCGCGAAATTTTAAGCGAACAACACAGCTCCCGATCGTGAATGCACGACGGAGCTGTGCTGACCGCGAAATGTCAGCGAACAGCACACATCCCATTTTTGAACGCTCGATCGCAAAACTCAAGCGAACACTGGTGTCGCGTTTGTACGAAACGTTACCCGACTCGAGGTGTGTTAGACATATTCGTTTCCAACACATCGGCCGCAGCGCATTCACAACAGAGAGAGCCAAACCAGAGAGCTAAACCAGAGAGCTAGCTTCCTTCGACATCCAGAAACCAGAGAGCATAACTAGCTCACCACCATCAATCTTGAACCCACAGTTCATATTTTTTACTAGCCTCCCGTTTACACCCTCTCAATTCTCCGTTCGCAGTTAACATCATGAGCTCCCGTGTCCTTCCGTCCGAGTATCCCGTCCTTAATGCCGACGAAGTTGGAAATATCTCACCGACGAGTAATGCTGTTCCTAGTCCCATTCAGGAAAGTAGAAACGCTTCGCCCCGTTCCGAGAATAATGATGGCGCAACCACACCGAGTAGGAAGCGGTCAAGACCAAAATCTCTAAGATTTGGGAAATGTTCTCTAAGATCGATGGAGAGGACAAGGCAACATGCAACTATTGTCCTCCCAAGAGTGTCGATGGCATCATATCCGTGAAGGGCGGTTCTACGACGGCGATGCGGAACCACGCCAAGTCGAAGCATGCAAAGGAGTACGCACGCGTTTTTTAGGTCGAGCTCGCAACATGCAATGGCGGCGGAACCGCAGACACTCTTCGTGCAATGACACGGACGAAGCCATTCACGGAGCGTGAAAACCGCGAGCGGCTCGTTCGAATCTTCTCAAAGAGCACCATCGCCTTCTCCGCCATCGAGGACAAAGACTTGAAGGATTACTTGATGTGCTCAACCCGCAAGCGACCATTCCTTCGCGCAAAACGATCTCAAGCGACTTGACAGCCAAATATGATGAGTACGTGGGTAAACTTCGAGCATACCTTCAAGCACTTCCTTCCAACATTGCATTCACTTGTGATATTTGGACGGCACCCAACACTCGTGCGTACATGGTTATCACGGCACATTTCATTGGCAAGGATTTCAACAACGTGTCGTGCGTGTTAAACTTTAAGCTTTTGGAGGGGAGTCACACGGGAGAGGCTATTAAGAATGCATTCACGGAGACGGTTTATGATGAGTGGGGACTTGGGGAGAAAGTGATGGCAATCACGTGGGATAACGCATCATCTAACGATCGTTTCATCAATCTTCTTGTGGATGAGAAGGGGTTTCCGAGTGCAAGGCAGATGCGGTGCTTTGCACATGTTCTCAACCTCGTCGTTGAACAACTCTTGAAGGATGACAAGGTTGATGCGGCTCTCAAGAAGGTTAGGGCATTCGCCGTTCACATTCGGGGATCCCCTTTGCGTAAGGGGAAGTTTGCTAACCGTTGCAAGGAGAAGGGTTTGGGCCATGTCAACTCCATTGCTTCGGATACGCCGACAAGGTGGGGGAGCACCCACAACATGCTTGTTCGAGCGCGACTCATCCGACCCGCCATTGATTCCTACTTGGTGGGAGAAGTAGCGGAGGATGTGGAAAAAGAGCTCAAAATGAAGGACGAGGAATGGGAATCTCTTAGAATCCTCGACAACATTCTTGCACCTTTTGCGGAGGTTACCACGGTGTTAGAGGGAAGCTCCTATCCTAGTGTGTCCCTATGTATCCCACTTATAAACATTCTAATGGATAAGATGGAGGGGTGGACGAGGGAAGGTGGGCAGTTCTCGGAAGCGTGCAAGAATGGCCTTGAAAAGCTCAAGGACTATTACGATCGTTCTTCCGAGGAGTACACGGTGGCTACGCTCCTTGATCCAAGGTTCAACCTCGCATACTATGCGGAGGGGGCAAGCACGGGTGTTGGGCATGTTTCTACTCGCGCGGTCAAGGAGATTTCAAGGAAGCATTCAAGGGCTATGAGGAAGCCTACAAGCGCAACATGGAAGTGGAAGAGAGCAACGACTCTCGTGATCAAGCGGCAATTTCCTCTCATTCCACATCCTCCCTCCTTGGTGGTCTCTTTCATTCCCGCGAAAACGGGAGGCGTCAATCCACTATCGTGCAAATGACCAAGTACCTTGAAGAAGAAAGGGTGAGCATGGATTCCAAGGCAACATGTCCAACCTTCAACATGTGGTGGAAAGTGCATGGTGCACGATTCCCCATTCTTGCGACGATGGCACGCGACTACCTTGCAATTCCGGCAACATCCGCCGAATCAGAGCGCACCTTCTCCATTGCCCGTCGTCTCATCACCGATTATCGTCATAGCCTTGATCCTAGGACAATTCGAGCATGAATGTGCCTTAGGTCATGGTTTGAGCTCACATGCATGGAGTAGTTTGGTATTAGGCCTTGAATGAAGAGGTGTGCTTGTTGTTGCATGCTAGGCGAAGTAAAACACAATTGTAGTTGTATCTTATGATTGAGTAAATCAATGCTTTTCTTATTAAAACAAGCATACAAAGTTTATAAGGTAGTAATTGAAACTCGACTCGTATTCGACCGTATTCGGCAACATTCGACTCGTATTCGACTCGGATAAAACGATGGTATTCGATCAAATACTTTTCCCACAACTATTCGCTAAATACTCGTCTAAGGTACTCGTATTCGAATCGGGTATTCGTTTTCCACCCTTAGGTACACTACACTACACTCTATCTAAAGATAAAGGTACACAAAAGTTGAGGCGCCTCAAAAGTTGAGGCAAGCTGTCGCTCTATCTTTGACCCCTTGCTTCCCTGCTCTGAAGTTCCAAACGCCACCTTTGATCGTTCCATGACCATTCTTCACGTGTGCATGGCATTGCGTTTGGTTGGTGCTAAATGCATGTTTGGTTTTCTCACACGTCCTTTTCCACCCCACTCCAATGCCCCACACAGGCCAACCGCATGGTGCTGGAAAAGGCGCCCCTAGATATCCGAAGAGATGTGGACGAGGTGCTGACCATGTTTGTAGGGCGACCGTTTCCAAGGGCCATGAGGAGCAATGTGTGCGTTTCACCTGCACCCTCTCAACCCTAAGACCTTCCCAGGCCAACCGCATGGTGCTGGGAAAGGCGCCCCTAGGTATTCGGAGGGACGTTGACGAGGTGCTGAACATGTTTGTGGAGCGACCCTCTGAACGGCCATGAGCCATGCTTCCCTCCCATGCATCCTTGCTGTCACCCTACAGGCCAATCGCATGGTGCTAGAGAAAGCCCCTCTAGACATCAGGAGGGATGTGGACGAGGTGCTGACCATGTTTGTGGAGCGATTCAGGGAGAAGCCGCAAGTGGAGGTGGCAGCTTATGTCGACCCCTCCGTGCCACAGCTCGTGCTGGGGGACTCACTCCGGCTCCGACAGGTGCGGTGGAGTGCGGTGGAATGCAGTGTAGCTCGTTTTGGTGCAGTGCAGTGGGATTAAGTGTGGTACAGGTGCAGTGGACGAGGTGTTGACCATGTTTGTGGAGCGATTCAGAGAGAAGCCTCAAGTGGAGGTGGCAGCTTATGTCGACCCCTCCGTTCCTCAGCTTGTAGGGGACTCGCTCCGGCTCCGACAGGTGCGGTGCAGTGCAGTGTAGCGTGTTTTAGTGTGTTGTCATGCGGTACACTGCGCTTTAGCGCGGTGCAGTGGACGAAACCTACCAGGTGCTGATAAACGTGCTGTCCAACGCCTGCACGTCCACCGAATGTGGACACGTTCTTATTTGCTTTCCCCCTTCCCCCTCCTGGAACCTACCAGGTATAGATCAATGTGTTGTCCAATGCGTGCAAGTTCTCCGAGCTTGGACACATTCTCGTTTCCACCTTTCCCACCTCCCTCCACCGACCCCCCCTTGCCACCCCACCAGGTGTTGATCAATGTGCTGTCCAACGCATGCAAGTTCACGGATCGGGGGCACATCCTGGTGTGTGTGCGCACGGCGCCCTTCACAGAGGATATTCGGCGAGTCATTGTGCTCAAAGGGGTGGCCAAGCGCATGCCCACAGCCACCCCCACTGCCACATCCGGCTCCCCTGCTGCTACAGCCGCTGCTGCTACAGCCGCTGGTTCGTCAGACGCTGCTGCTACAACCACAGGCGGTGCTGCATGTACAGGTACAGGCTCTGCTGCAGCTGCAGCAGCAGCAGCAGGGGCAAAGGCAGCAGGAGCCGGAAGCGGATCCGCAGGGCAGGCGGAGCAGCAGAGGTCTACAGGGCAGGTGGTGCCACTGCCCTCTCCCAGCCTCCCAACCAGCAGCCCTACATTCAAACCCACCATCTCACCCACCGGAAAACCCCCGGCGAGTCAGAGCGCGGCAGGTGGCAGGACGGGAGGGGCGGAGGAGTGGCTGGGGTGTGCTGGGGGAGGGGGTGCGTGGCGGACGTCCATAGAATGGTCCCCTGTGATGGTGGGGAGCAGTAGGGGGGGTGCGAGGGGGAGCACCAGGAGCGGTGGAGCGGATGGGGGGAAGAGGGTGCTGAGCCGGAGGGGAACTGGGAGTTCTGTTGAGATGGAGAAAGTGGGGGAGGGACTTAAGGGAAGTCCTTCTTTGGGTGCTGGTGGTGGTTCTGCGGCTGCGTTGGCTGCTGCTTCGTCCTCGGCTTCCCTTCCTGCGTTGGCTCGTTCCAACACCCCCACCTCTGCTGCCCGCTCCGCCACCCCCACTGCATCATCACCAGCAGCAGCAGCAGCAACAGCAGCAACAGCAGCAACAGCAGCAGCAGCAACAGCAGCAGCAGCAGCAGCAGTGACAGAGCTGTACCCATCGCTGGCAGCAAGCACGACGCTGAGTGGGCTAGAGGCAGTGGATTCATGCAACAGTTGGGCCACCATCTGTGCTCTGCGCGCCCAGGCCAAAGCAGCCACTGCGCACCAGCGCGCCCGCCTCGCTCCCCCTGCTGCTGCTGGTGGTGCTGCCTCTGCTGCTGCTGGCGCTTCTGCCGCTGCCTCTGCTGCTGGTGCTGCCTCTGCCCCTGGTGATGCTGCTGGTAACCGCAGCGCGGCTGGTAACCGCAGTGCCGCCGTGGTAACCGTCCTGCAGAAAAGCGTGCGACTGGTAATCTCCGTAGAGGATACAGGCGTGGGCATCCCCTACGGGGTGCAGCGGCACATTTTCAAGCCGTTTGTGCAGGCAGACGCATCCAACACACGCACGCACGGCGGCACGGGCATCGGTCTCGCCATCTCGCGCCAGCTCGTGAAGCTCATGGGCGGGCAGCTGACTTTTTCCAGCCGCCCGGGGGTCGGCACGACGTTTTACTTTGATATTGTGGTGCCGTGCGCGAGCGCTGCAGAGGAGGCGGAAGCTGCTGCGGCGGCTAATACCCCGAACGGCCGCGGCGGGATGGGTGGGTTTCCGGGGTACTGGGGTGCTGGCGGTGCTGCTGCTGCCGGTGCTGCGGGTGGTGCAGGCGGGAATGGGGGGGTGGATGACAACGCGAGTCTGTCTGCTGTGGCGCTACAGATGGGGTTCGATCGAAATGCGTCAGCCAAGGACTTGCAAGCGTTGGCTGATCTTGCTAGGGAGTCGGGCAATGGGTCGGACTGGCACAAGCAGCTAAGGCCGGGGTGCCGCGACGGGCAGTTTCGAAATGTTTTGGCGCGTGTGTTGGACGGGAATGCGGTGAGGCGAGAGATCGTGGAGAATTATTTGGAGCAGGTTGGAGTGAGGGTTGTGGGGGAGGGGGAGGAAGTGGGGGGTGAAGGGGGGAGGGAAGGGGAGGGGAGGGGGAGGTGCAGAGTGGTGTTGGTGGAAGCTGATTGGCTGTGGTCAGCGCCAGCAGCAGCAGCAGCAGCGTGACATGGTTACAGGAAAAAATGCAGCTGTAGCTGGTGCTATACCTGCAACCAGCAGTAGCAGCGGCAGCAGTGGCAGCAAGAGCAGCAGCAGTGGTGGGGTGGGTGGGGGGGGAGGTGGCGGGGGAGGTAGCGGGCCAGGTGGTGGGGTGATGGTATCCCAAGGTGTGTTCTATAGGGGGGCACAGTGGGACGCGGCGATTCTGGTGACACAGGAGAGGGTGGAGGAGGGTGAGGCGAGGAGGAGGGGGTTTGATGCGGTACTGGTGAAGCCAGTGCGGTACGCTGCTCTGATGGGGTGCGTGGCTCAGGTCATGGACCGTTGTACTGGTGCCGATGCTGCTAGTGCTAGTGCTGCTGCTGCTGCTGCTGTTGCTGCAGCAGCAGCGGCTAATGATGTGTCGAGTTTTGATAGGCTAGACGAGCCAGACTACAGGTTCGGGCAGCAGCAGGCGGGCGCGAGTGGTCCCAACACCCAACACAACCCCAACAACACCCACACCAACACCCACACCAACACAATCACTCACACCAACATCCACATCAGCAGCAGCGGAAGCAGCAGCAGGGGCAGACTCACAGACACCCTGTCAGCCGAAGCAACAGACATTGTCTTTCCGACTGCCTTCCCCCCATCAGCATCTGCCTCCAGTGCCTCTATCCGCTCCCTCTCCGGTCTTTCAAGGGCAAGCAATGGTGCAGCGGCGGGATTGCAGATGCCTGGGTCGGCCAGTGTTGGGGAGGAGGAGAGCGAGATTGTGCCGTTCAGTGGCTGCATGGGGCTCGTGCGAGGGAACTCGGCTGTGAGAGGGAACTCGGCACAGGTTCATCCCACAGGCGTGGACCTAGCACGGAGCGACTCGGCACGTGCTGACTCGTCACGGCGTGATTTGCCACGTGCTGACTCAGCACAGTTGGACTTAGCCGGAGGTGACTCAGCACGAGGTGGCTCGGCATGGATTGACTCGGCACGTGCGTACTTAGCACCATCAGGGGCGGAAAGTGCAGTGGCAGCAGCAGCAGCAGTGGCGGCGGCGGTGGCAGGAAGAGATGCAGCTGCGGCTGCTGCCGCTGCTGGTAGTGGTGGTGCTGCTTATGCTACCGCTGCTGCTTCTCCTCCTGCTGCTGCTGCTGCTTCTACTGCTTCTGGTGGTGGTGGTGCTGCTGCTGCTGCTGCTGCTCCTGCTGCTGCTGCTGCTGTTTCCGTTGCCCCTGCGGCGGGCTCATTGAGGAGAGCCAAGAGCGGGCTGCCAGGCGTGGGTGGGGCGGACAGAGAGGAAGCAGACGCAGAGGGAGCGGTGCGGGCGATAGGCCGGGACAGCAGAACCACATCTGCTTCCCGCGCTGCTCTCGCTGCCGCTGCCGCTGTGGGAGGGGGAGGGGGAGGGGGAGGGGGAGGGGGAGGGGGAGGGGGAGCAGCGAGCAATAGCAAGCAGCAGAAGCCCAAGTCAGCGAGTTTCCAGATGCTGCAGGAGGCGCTGCAGGGCATGTCTCTGCTGGTGGTACGTTGTGCTTCCAGCCCATTTGTTTGAATTCTTCTAGTGCTGCTCTCTGTGCTGCGCTTCTCACTAACAGTCTGGTGAACCGCAAGGTGATAGGTGCATGCTGCAGCGCTGCTCTGCTCCTCCCTCATACCATTCTCCCAACGCTTCCCTTCCCAACAACCCCTGCCCCTTCCCCCATGCACTGCCAGGTGGACGACAACCTAGTGAACCGCAAGGTGATAGGGCGCATGCTGCAGCGGTACGGCGTGGGGGTGGAGATGGTGGATGGCGGCAGGAAGGCCATTGAGAGGCTCGTCTCGGGCGGGTGGGACATCGACTGCATTCTCATGGACGTGCAGGTGGGTGTGCTGTTGAGACGTGTTGAGCTGTAGAGCTTGTGAGACGCCTCTCAAGGCTCGTGGTGGGCGGGTGGGACATCGACTGCATTCTCATGGACGTGCAGGTGGGTCTATTGACTGAAACGTGTAATTGTTGGGATTTTGAGGCATACTGTTAATGTCGCTCAAGGCTCGTGGTGGGTGGTTGGGACATCGACTGCATTCTTATGGACGTGCAGGTGGGTGTGATGAGACGTGTTGAGCTGTTGAGATGTTGAGATCTTGAGTCGTCCGAAGGGTCTCTCAGGGACTGTCACGGGCGGGTGGGACATGGACTGCATTCTTATGGACGTGCAGGTGGTTGTGATGAATGAAACGTGTAATTGATGAGATGTTGAGGCATGCTGTTGATGTCGCTCAAGGCTCGTCACGGGCGGGTGGGACGTCGACTGCATTCTCGTGGATTTGCATGTGGTTGTGATGAGATGTGTTGAGTTGTTGAGATGTTTCAACTTACGAGATGCCAGCTGTCGAAACGTCTCTAACTTTTGAGCCAGCTTGATTCCTGTGAGGCTCTTTTTGAGCGGTCTTTGAGGCATACTAAGAGATAGTGAAGTTGCTGAGACGTGGTAGCTTTGGCTCACGTTTACTCTTTCGAAACGTATGAGTTCATGCGTTTTGTGGCAAATGGTGCCTTGACTCTGCAGATGCCAGAGATGGATGGGTGCGAAGCAGCAGCTGCCATCCGGAAGCTAGAAGGGGAGAGGCGGATGGAGAGAGAGGAGAGGGCACAGAGGGCGGAACAGGCAGAGAGGGAGGAGAGGGAGAGGTTGGAGGAAGCTGAGAGTGGGAGGGCGGAGAGAGAGGGAGAGAGTGGGAGGGAGGCTGTGCCATCTCCGATGGTGCAAGTGAGGGCCGCCCTTCCCGTTTCAGCACGAGACACATCAGCAGCGGCACCAAAGACGGGATTACCAGGGTCATTGGCAGCAGCAGCAGCAGCAGCAGTGGCAGCAGCAGAGAGCACGGGAGGAGCTGTACCTAAGCCGCTCACGCCTCCCACCGCTCTGTACCTCCCGAAATCGCCGATGCACGCCCCGACACACACTCGCTCGCCCTCGTTCCAAGGCCGCACGTCCGCCTCCCCACTGCAGCTTCTCAGAAGCAACCGGCACCGACGGCACATGAGCAGTGGGGATTTGGACGGCCTAGGTGCGGGTCTCTGCACCCCCTCCTCACAGGCTGCTATGCAGTCTGCAGCAGCAGGGCACAGGCACACGCCATCTCCTAAGGATGGGCACAGGCACACACCATCCCCCAAGGATGGGCACTTGGGAATGAAGCTCAGCCCAGGCCTGAAGGCTCGGCAAGCTGCAGCGGATAACAGTCCGAACCTAAAGGCCGAGCCATCTGCAGCAGCACACAGCCCGGCACAAAGCGGTGGACCCAGGCCTAGAGCAGTGGCTGTTATTAGCCCTAAGGAGGGGCCCCAGGGGGAGGTGAGACCTGGGGTGGGTACTCCCAAGGAAGGGGTGTTCTCTAAGTGGGTGGAGTTGACTAGTCCCACGTGGGGTAGGCAGCAGGTTTTGGAGCAGCAGCCACTGCTGGTAGAGGAGGCGAAGCAGGGCGGGGAGGGAGGGGTGAAGCGGGGGAGTCAGGTTCGGCAAGGGAACGAGCAACACCAGCAAAGGCAGGGTGTGCAGGAGCGGCAGGTGCAGAAACAGCAGCCGCAGCCGCCGCAGCAGCAGAGACGAGTTCCAGAAGTGGATAGGGTGTTGATATTTGCGTTGACTGCAGATATTGGTGCGGGAACGAGGGAGCGGTGTGCACGGGTGGGCATGGATGGGTATATGACCAAGCCTGTGGAGGAGGAGCAGCTTTGCCGTGTTATGCTGGGCCCTCTCAGGTTGCGGAGGCAAATGAAAATGGGAGAAAAAACTGGAGAGTAGCTGGTGGAGCTCACAGGGTTTGTGGTAACAGTGGCATGACAGTTAAGTTTTGTACAAAATGTATTTATTGACACTGGTTAGACTAGTCATACTTGTGGATATGTGCAGCTGACATGTTCTTTTGTATAGAATTTTCTGATTGGAGTGTGGTGGAACAATCGAACTACCGTAGGATTCCAACATATACGCGGAAGTTGTTACGTGTGAGGATGAAATTTAGAAAGGACCGTAAATGTAAGGGCGCGTGCCTTTTGCAAATTTGGATGAAGTTCATGTTTTTTGGTTGAACTTTCACATTTGAACTTTGGTCGACCTGTGCTCGACTCTCTCGACTTTTGGTGGTCGAGGAGCAGCGTCAACAAGCCCGAGTCGCGCATGGAACAACAAAATCGACTTTCGAAGTTCAACTTTCAACAGTACGGTACATAACGAGTCGCGCTGAATTTCTGTAGGTTACCTGGTAGTTTCGCAGTGTATCCGTGGACGAATCCGACTTCGGTAACAGTGTAGGCTGTACCTCGTTGCTGTCGTCAACCTCGCAAATCTTTGTGCGTGTGCAAAAGAACACACGATTGGATTAACGCAAACATGAAAATCCGAATGCGAGGTCAACTTTAATTTGTATCCAACTTTTTCACACAGTTTGAACTAGGACACACGACTTTCTCGCGACGTGATTTACGAAATTGGCGAGAAGGGTTACTAGCAAAAGTTCAACCCTTTTCCCGAACGTCTACACCAGAGCGGAGGGCAGCAGCAGCTGCAGAGCGGAGGGCAGCAGCAGCTGCAGAGCGGAGGGCAGCAGCAACTGCTGCAGAGCGGAGGGCAGCATGAGCTGCAGGGCGGAGGGCAGCAGCAGCTGCAGAGCAGAGGGCAGCAGCAGCTGCGGAGTGGAGGGCAGCGTCAGCTGCAAAGCAGAGCACAGCAGGAGCTGCAGAGGGGAGGGCAGCATGAGCAAAAGAACACACGATTGGATTAACGCAAACATGAAAATCCGAATGCGAGGTCAACTTTGATTTGTATCCAACTTTTTCACACAGTTTGAACTAGGACACACGACTTTCTCGCGACGTGATTTACGAAATTGGCGAGAAGGGTTACTAGCAAAAGTTCAACCCTTTTCCCGAACGTCTACACCAAATCAAAGGGCAGCAGCAGCTGCAAGAATTTGGGTGAGATGCACTGTGTGGATTGGCCTCAAGGAAATGTGTGGGCAAAGCTGAGAAGAGTGTTAATGAAGAGTTGTGTTGATGGGTAAGATAAATGCTATTTTCTGTGTAGCTATCGTTTCTATATGTTAGCGGGGCAAATGCCTTTCAATGGAGTTGAGTGGCTCCTGCGCTGCCTGAAGCGAATCTCAGCGGACCAAAAACAGTCTTCGTCAGCATCCACGCTTCATTACGCCAGTCATTACCTGACAGGTTGAAATGGCGCGTGTTTCCCAAAATTTAGGATGGGCCCCGCTCGTAGCCAAGCTTGCCAGCAGGTGATCTTCTCAGTGCCTCTGAGTCGACGTGGCGTGACGTTTGTCTGTTTCCAGGTTCTTTGTGGGGAAAAGATCAACCATGGGCCGAACAGTGCCAGAAGGGTGATCAAAGTAGGGCCGGTAAATCTCGACCGTAGGATTTCGACCCAGAGCTGCCTAAACGATTAGGCAATTACGCCGAACCGTAAGTAAAAGAGATTTGCAAGCAGAACCGAAAGATGTATTCATTTTATTTTGTTTGAGTTTAGACCTCCGTCTACTACAACGCGCGCGTCGTCTTCTTCTGGTAGTATCATTCGGCATGTCAGATCGTGTACGTATATTTACATTCTGGAATACACACGATGCCCGGTTGAGCCCCCTGACCTTGACTCTCTCTCTGGGCTTTTAAGTGATTTTGGATTTCGTCTGGATTTCGATAATTCGCACTTAGCAAAAAAGGGCTTATAAAAGGGCAGATGGAGAATTGTAACTAAGCGTTGACAATTTGACCCCGGTCTCTTCAGTTTGGGGTGCTTGTAGATGGGGTGCAACTGGCTGGCACAAAATACACGGGTGCAGGGTTTCCATCCTGCACAGGGCAAATTCGCGTGCACTGGTTGGGCATCGTGTGTATATATTGCACTGCCTGCGTCAGCAGGCAGTGCAATGAGTCAGCGCGGGCAAGAAAAAAAAATAAACCCCAGTCGGGGGCATGCCATCCGAGGGAGCCTCAACCCTAAAATTTTAGGGTTGAGGCTCCCGAATGGCATGCCGTAAGCCATGGGGTTTATTTTTTTTGCCCGCGGGCAGCGTGCTGACTCAGTCTGTAGCGCTACCGGGCGAAACATAGTATATTCTGGGGGATACATATCACCTGCCCGATAGTAAACGCACAAGAAAAAAAATATTACCCACTCGGAAAGGGATGCGACTCGGGAGGCATCAACCCTAAATACCAGGAAGTTTTTCGTTTTTAGGGTTGATCCATCCTGAAAATGCATCCACGTTCTCTATGAGTTTTAGTTATTTTGGCTGCCCTAATTGTTCCCAGTGGAGTCGGCTCGCTAAACGACACGAGAGCAAAAATGGGAGCGGGTACACGCCACTATTGACATAATTTTGCGCAATAAACAAAGACCAGCTGTTAAAAACTCCTCTAGCACCGGTCTGGTAAGTTCCGGGCCTCTCGGCCCCTGGTTGATCACCCCTCTGCCACTGTTCGGCCCCTCGTTGATCTTCTCCCTTCTTTGTGCGTGCGCTTCATTCATCCCCAGGAGTGCGGGATGCTGGAATTTGGATTGCTCGGTGTGTGTGTGAGTGGATCGGGCTGCTTTAGTTGACCCGGCGATGTGCTGGCAATCCCAGGAAACTCGCGTGAAGAGTCAATATGCTTGGTCAGACTCCACACCTGGAAACTATCCAGCGTAATCTTTTGTCAGCTGACGTGCAATCTGAGGCCATCTCAATGCACGATGAGACCGATGTGGTCCCCCCGCTGACGTGGTGACATCGCAACACGTGGTAACTGTGTCGCTGGATGGTCCGTGGCCAAACAACCAATTCATCGCGATTCGTGACGAGGGCTCCCGTCTGACTTGTACAGAGACCCTGGCTTCGTGTGATGTCGCAAGGCCACAGCATCAACTCCCCGACCAGCCAAGCCTTCCTCCTTCCCCACTACAGTAGTCCCCCTCCCCTCCCCGCAACCTCAAAATTTGTTCTGGAGCGGCGTTGCGCGGTCCTCCGCAGCAGCCCCTTGGTGCGGGGCGGGCCGTCCTTCCGCGCGGTGTGCTGGATTTGTGGATAAAGAGCCTGGCGAATGAGAGAGAGAATCAATCAGTCTGGCTTGAGCGTGTTTCAGATTCGCGAGCTACGGACCAAGTGATGACACCACCCACTGTTTGCGCCACACTACACCTTCCGAATCCATACCACCCCTTCTCACCGTCCTTTCATCCTTCTCTCCCTCCCCTCCACCATCGTGCCCCCTCCGTTCACACTCTCCTCACCTTTTTTACCCCCTCCTCGTCCCCTCTCATTACTGTACCTCCGCCTTTCTGTGCTCGTCGCTTCCCCTCCTGCATTCTGCCACTGGTTGCAGCGCTAGGGTAGCCATTTTGTGAGCGCTCGCCCCCCGCCTCCCGAGAGTGGCGCGGAGCAGAGCAAAGGGGCAACCAACCGAAGCAACAGTAGGGTCGCCCCGTCGTGCCGTGCCATTAGCGGATCCATAAAGTTGGCAACCAGCAGGGCTTCAGATAGTGAGTCCGTGCAGAGTGCGACGGCAGTAGCCCAGAAAGAAAACCTACCACCCACCATTGCGGCCACAGGTACATATAGAGAATAGAGGTGAAGAAGCAGCAGTCGAGGCACGTAGGGACTGATCGAGTGTTGACTCCCACACGACTCGCCAGACCTCTCCTTTTCCTCATTTTTTTTTCCGAGGCGCCAAGCTTGAGAATCCAGTGCGTGAATCCAAATTATTGCTCTCCTTAGGTTCAGTAGTTTGCTTATAACGCACCGTCATCCTTTATCTTCCAATAAGCCGAGTCCATAGCATGGCGTTCGCCACGTTGTCCCATTGGGATGTCCACCAAAGCGCGTCTTTTCCATTCGCCATGACCCGCTGCTCGCATATTCCTTCAGCCGAGGCTCCGTCTGAACCCACTTACGCGTCGCTGAAGCTCCATCCGCTGCTCTCTCCGTCGCAGGAGCATGTCGTCCGTCAATTCTCAGCCCTCTCCATGCAATTCCACGAGCAGCACCACCACCAGCAGCAGCAGCAGCACTGCCACCGTCATACTGCAAGCGAGCCGCAGCCACAGCAGCCGAAAGAGCGAGAGGCCCCGCACACTCTTCCCTCCCTAAAGCAGGATGCTTTCCAAAGAGTCCCATGTGTGGAGAGCGAGCAATTTATGGCTCGTCTTAACGTAGGCGACTCGGCTAATGCGGTTAACGAGGCAATTCTCGAGGCACCTCAAAACTCAGCTGATGGGGGTAAGGAAGCATCGCCTGCAGTATCTCCCACGTCGCCTGGCGTCGAACCGATGGAACCACTGAGCCACGGTAACGTCCCATTTGACTTGGCGAGAATTTCTCCGCGCGCGTCAGGCGCGTCCCTTCCCATCGGCGGTAGCTTCTCAGGAAGCGGCGGGAGCGCGCCTGTTTTCAGCAGCGGCATGCTTCCTTGGCTTCGGAATCCTAGCGAATTGGATTTGAACCTTCCTGCGTCACCGGCGGCCGACTCCGCAGCTACTCCCGCCCTTCCGCCGTCTTCTGCGGCCTTCCCTTCGTCATTCCAAGTGCTCAATTCCAGCTTTTGGGAATCTGGCGCCAATTGCGGCGCAGATGGCGGCGCTGTATCGCCTCCTGTTTCCGAGAATTCGTCAGAGTCGTCGCTGGTGGCGCGTGGCAGTGAGAGCAGCAGCACGGACATGGATGACGAAGACGATAATAACGAGGATGAGGATGACGACAGTGATGGAGAGGCGGACTCGGGATTAAAGCCGCTGAGGTTAACGAAGAACGTGACAGCCATGACCTCTCTTCCCTCACAGTAAGCGCGTGTTTATGCTATTCCGACGATAAATTACCTGCTCTCGTCTCGTAAAGTTTGAACTTCTCATTTCTCACTTGCCGAGTGATATCGCGGTTCTTGATTCAAGCATCTAATCAGCATTTGCGTTCCTCCTCCTCCTTGCTAACCTGCAGGCGAAGCCTTTCGTCTCACTTCGGAGGCAAATCTCGCACCTTTTCGTCACTCGCCGACGTGTCAGCCATCCAAACCATTCACGGTCTCGCAAAACCGCCTCCAGGCCTCTGCCTCCGCCGAATGCGCCGTCGTTCGCGCCTCTCCTCCGCATCTGCTCTCCGCCACAGCCCCTGCGCCATCCCCATCGCTGCTGCGCATCGCAGCATAGGCAAGAATCGCCCGGGTGCTGGCGCTGGCGCTGGCGCTGGCATTCGTGGAGGCAGTTTTGGGCGGCTGGCGGCTCAGCAGGTTCAGTTCTCGCTGGCGCTGGCTGTGTCGATGGGAAGCGTGGGTTGAAAGGTGTCGCGGATTGGTTGAGAGATCGGGCACGAAGCAGCTTCAGGGAGAGAATTGTGCAGAATGGCAACAAGATGGAGCAGTTTTGAAAGCACTACCACAGTTTTGTTTGGCTTCCCGAGATGCAGCACGTGGTTTTAAGAGGGAGTTCTGTGGATGATGATTTGAGATTCCATGGCATTGCTGCTGGCTGCTTCTTTGCGCTAGACTTTGGAGGCTCCATGGCAAGACTCTGGATCGGAGGTCTGTCCACACCAGCTGCTACATTTCACCAACTCCTCAGGCGGGAGCTGGAGCATCTATTATGGTTTCTGCTATCCCAGCCAAAGAGCATCAAGTCGGGGCATCATGAACGCAAACGGCAATTTCTGCTGAACGTTGTCTGTGAGCTGCGTGCCAGTATCTTCAGATGTGGCAGCTGATTGTGGGATCGTCTGGACCCATGAATTTGCCAATAATGAGATCCAACAGCGGGCTTTTGTGTGCATTTGCCATAGACGCTGCTGACCAAGATAGGCCAGGGATATGTTGGCAAATTTTGGAGCAAGCTTGGGTCATGCCTCGTGTCCCTAGCTCGTATTGCCAACCCCTCTGCTGCTCATACTGAGGTGTGTCTTCCCGCTAGTTAGTGCTGTATTCCCGCTTGTTGGGTGTGTATTTGACCAATAAGTGGTGGCCATTTTTGGTACACCCTGATTTTGTGAATTCCAGATGCATCTGTTGGGAGATTAGCAGCTGTCTCTCAGATTGGAAGAGGCGGTTTGCCATTTTGTATTTCTCAATCAATATTTACCACAATAGTCATGATTTTATGGCTATGCGATCTTAGACACGGCAGAACAGCAAAATCCCCTTTCAACGGGGTTCTTCTGATTACCAGCGACCATGGGCGAGTTGTTGTGGATGTTGCTTTTTGGGTGCGCCCAGCGGTAAGGTGCGGTGAAATTTTGCTATGCCGAGGTGCGGTGGGTCAAATGCACAACCCGCCGTCAACCACCAGACTGTCATGTCCCGTAGTGTGATGTGATTCCGTTCATGTCAGGGTGGCGACAATGGCGGTGGTAGGGGCAGCCCTGAGGTGGGGTTACAGATCAGCGAAAATCGGGTGGCATGAGCCACTCTGAGCTAAGGGCTGCTGAAATAGCTGGTTCAGCGCTTGCGATTTGTATGGCTAAGCCGTCGATCTCATTGAGAGCAGAGACTCGCGAATTTCCTACCCACCGCATGGATAGCGTCGTCACTGCGAAGAAGTGGTTCGTTCTTCGTGTTCGTTTCGTTCATCTCGCAGAGGTTATCGGGTTTCCATTCCGCGAAGAGGCACATAGAAGAACAGATAGGCAGCTCCCAGGCGTTCCACCAGAAAGTCAACTACCCCCGCTACTACGCTCGGGGGTGCCATCAGAAAGTGCATCCCGAGGGGTTGCTATCTCAATATGCATCACACGGGGGTGCCATCGATGGCATCGCAAGGGGGTGCTATCTCAAGCCCGCTCGTCTCGTCGATGTTGGGTGGGAGGCGAGCTGGTGGCCGTTGGACTCGCGGAGTTCCGAAGCCTGTCTACGATGGCCTTCGCCAGCTGATTTTCATTCAAGAACCGCCAACTCACAGTGTGGCACACTGCAGCAACCTTTTGATCTAGTAAAACAGGCACCATCATGGAGCGCGCGGCGTCTCTCCTCTGCGTACTGCTCTGTAAGCGCTACTAATAGTCCTGCTCTCCACACTGATTGTCTGACTGGAGTTGTGGGTTTTTTTTTTTTTACAGGCAGTGATGTTGCTAGTAGTGCTCATGCTTCGTGCTGCTCTGCTGTCTGCCTGCAGGTGCGGCGCTCTTCACTGCCGGCTGCGCCGCATCTCCCGCATCATTCCTCTCAAGGCTACTCGGACCAAGCGGCCACGCCGCTGCCGCTTCTGTGCTCAAGCCAGCCGCCGTGGTCTGAAGTGGAAAGGGAAGGTACATGGTAAGTGTCCACATGCCTTCACTGCATACCTTGTGAGCGATCTTTTAGAATTCTCAAAAATCGCTCAGAAGGTTCATGGTAAGTGTCTACATGCCTTCAATGCATGCTGCTCGCTCCTTCGCTTCGCTATCAGTAGACGTTGCAAGCTGCAGGCAGTGCATGCACGATGGTAACCTTGCACCTACTAGAGTTTGCAGCTGCTCAAGAGTTGATGCGTGTAGCTGCTCAACATGTGAACAATTTAACGCCTGCATGATTTTGAAGCCATCGTGATTGCCGCCATTGCAGTCCTCTTTAGCCCTAACAGCTAACCAGCATGGCCCCATCCCGCCCCATCCCTCCCCATCCCTTCTCATTGTTAGAGAAATATGCAACCATATTGCATCCTTTCGCGGATACATGGACCGGCGACCGTGGAGCATTCGGGTTTGTAGACTACAAGGTTGTGAGGTATGAACTCTTTCCACATTTTCAATTGGTGAGTCATCATTGAGGAATTGGTGCTGCACTTTCAAACTCTTCGTTGGTGCTGACGTCATCTCCCAGCACATGTGGTGCCCTACCAGTACTAGTAATGCTCCCAATTATTCCTCTTGCTCGCAAGTCAAGCTCTAGAGGGAGCAGGTTTCTAGTAATCATGTCCTCCCTTGACTATCTCTCCCCATGTCCAATTCGCAGTTACTCTCCACATGAGTGGTACTTTGTGGCGGAATTTGGGATCACTGGTATACATTCTGGAGGGGGAGAACCCACCCTTGCTTTCGGGACTTCCTGCGCACTCAAGGACGTTGGCAGTAGTTGGCTTCAAGTGGTCAGGCTGATTCGTTGTCACCAGCTTGTACCGTATTACCTTGTGCCTAAGGACAAGAGTAGCTGTAAAAATTGTATCCTGCATCTGTCTTAATGACTGAAGAGACATTCACCCTCATAGACATGGGTTGAATAATCATTTGTTCGTCACACGTGGAAAAGGTCATCAGGAGGCTGGTCAAAAAAGAGCACACATGAAGCGGGCGACATTGTCAATCTTGAGGTGGGACAAGTGGCTGTGCGCTTGGTGATATGCGGTACGCCCGTAGGGTGATAATTGCAAGGTTACGGGAGGACGAGGCGCTGGCCGGAGTAGATTCTGTTGATGTCGCAGACCTGCAATCAAGAAGAAGGAATGAGGAAGTAGAGTGATCATACAAAATAATCATAATCGCACAGCGTAGGAGCAATCAGCTAACATACTAATAAGGACCACAAAGGTAGCAGATCGAAAGCAATTAGGCGTGTGGGTGGCGGAGGGTGGGGGGAGGAATGGGTGGCTAGATGCGTGCAGGTCATCAGGCGTGTGGTGGCGGAGGGTGGGGAGGAGGGGGGGGGAGGGGGATGGCAGTGGTACCTCTGGGTTGAGCTCGAAGAACTTTGAGGAGGGATTGCAGTAGACTTCGCGTGGGAGGATAGAGCTGAGGGTTTCGCCTGGCTTCACCACCCACACCCTACATGCATGGCGTGGAAGGGTGGTACACAAGGGAGTGCAGGGGATAGGAAGCGATTGTGATTCAGGAGGGGGCAGGGGAATTATAAGGTCTTACAGGTGGGAGGATAGATTGCAGGGGAATACGTACGGCTAATTTGGCCAGGATTGGAGGGACATGCAAAATACAGAGCGGAGAACTAGGGAGAAATCACAGAGGGAAACAGGGAGGAGGAAGGCAGTGTGGGAGAGGGGGGGGGGGGGTGAGGGAAGGGAAGGTAGGGAGCACCACTCACTTGCCATCAGCATCAGTTCTAAATATCGGGATTCGAAGAAGCCAAAGCGTGCAAGTAACGATGCCAGTGACCATCAGCATCCGGAGCCAAATGCAAATGAGAAGTCCATGCAAAGCAAGCAGGGTGCAATAGAGAAAAGAATGAAGGGATTAAGGTGATGGGGTCGATACTCAGTCAGCTCACTCTGAGCAGCACGAGTGAAGTTGATTAGCAAATAGAAGCGATGCGAGGCCATGAAATTCCGAAAAAGAAAGGGGGCACCAGAGGTGGTCAGGAAACGTCAATGTGACATGTCATGCCCTGCAGGAATAGGACCTGCTGGCAGAGCAAAATGCGCGGCAACATGGCATGCGTGGTGGGAGCACGAATCACGCGACTCACTCCAGCTTGACTCGGCTCTGCTTCTGTGGGCGCGGCCAGAGTGCAACCATAGCCAGCATGAACGCGCCCGTCCCTAGCACCTGCTTCATCACTGGCGTGAGCCCGTCGCCAACCCGCAACACCTGCCCCAGCAGCCCTCCGTTGCGATTCCGCCCCTTGCTGGACGCCCCCCTGCCCCTCTTAACCACCCGCCTGTCTGTTGTTCCCGATACTGACGACCCTTCCATGCTCTCCACCTCATCCCCGCTCTCCGAACTGCTCTCTGCGGCTTCACTGTCTGCCATCGCTGGCTGTTTGCTGCTGCTGCCAACACGGCCGTTGAGGTCAGCTGCAACCCCACCGCCTCCTCGCACACTCGACTGCTCACTCGCCCAGCCTGTCGTGCTGCTCATAGCGGCCTGCACGGAAGCCCCTGCGTTTGCTGCTGCTGCCGAAGCGGCGGCCTTGGTTGAGGTTGAGACTGATGCGACCTTTGCTGATGTCATGGTTGTTGCTTCACTGGCGACCTGCGTGGCGGTCTTGATGATGGTGACGTCAGTCTTGGTGGTGGTGGCTGATGCCGTTTGCTGCAAACCACACCAGCACCAGCAAACACGGATGCACAGAGAACAAGTTTGTTGACCAACTAAAAATCACCAAGCTGGAATGCTTCGCTGCAAGCAAAAAAGAATCAGAACAGGCATCACAGACCCAAAACAACGCGGCCTGCTGCACACATCTGCCAAACCATGACAACTGCACACACTAGTTTGCACGCACCTGTGCTGATGTGACCTGAACCTCCTTCTGCACCTCTTTCACCACCTCCACTGTTGCAGTTGCAATCGAGTCAGGACCCTGAACCTGCACCGTCTGAGCAGCTTGAGAAACCGACGCAGCAGCAACGTCAGAGACAGAATCCGGGACAGCAGCGGTAACCACAGGCGAGGCAGCAGCAGGGACAGCAGCTGAAGCAACGGGTGCTGCTGGGGCAGCAGGAGCGACCTGCGCACTGACGGACCCTTCTAGCGACGACTCGGTATAGCCAGACTCGTCATCGCTACCATCAAATACCAGCATTACGTTGGACATATCCACAGGAGCCCCAGCAGCAGTCACAGCCGCGCTTTCCTTCTGGACAGCAGCTGAAACGGTACTGGTAGCTGTAGACGCTGTGACTGTACCAGCTGCAGCAGTTTCTGTTGTCGCAGTTGTGCTGGTAGTGACGGTGGTGGTGGTCGTCGTCGTTGTTGTTGTTGTGGCAGCAGTCACTTCTGTGGTGCTCGCAGCTGCTGTTGCGGTCGCTGTTGATGCCTCGGAGCCTGCTGGAGCAGCGGTAGCGACAGGAGAGGCGAGCACTGCACTGACAGTGCGGGGTGTCACGGTGCCACTGGCGATGGGAGTCACTGTGCCGCTGCTGCTGCCATCCTTGCGCTTGCTCATCGACCTGGCACGCTGTTAATAGGCCACGATTCAAAGCAATGGGGTAACGGAGACTGCTTAAGACGAACAAGGAATGATGTAACAGATTCTCCTGGAAGGTACTGCAGAGTAATGGTTGAGAATAAGACTACATATTTGATTCGCTCCTTGCATTGGCAGACGGCCTTATTGCTCCGTCATGCACCTCGCTATGTAGTGTTGATTAATGACTTCTGATTACAGTGAAGGACAGAACCTGCTTGTATTGGTAGTGACTCACCATAGCCGCAATCTTGGCTCGTTCCTCATCACTGAGCATGAAGTTGGACTTGACATGCACTTGGCCTCCGTTGCTCCATGGAAGCATGTCATCACGAAAGCCCTTTTCCACCACGGAAGGTACAGACAGTGCTGCATGACCACAGTAAGTGCGGAAAAATGAAGAAAAACAAAGTTACACTTGCTTCGACTGTATTCTCAACCTGTCACAACTCCTGTACATGTCATGACGTGGGAATGAGGATCATGGCAAAATTTGGGTCTGATTGGACTCACAGGTCTTGCAAACAGCTACACCACGGGCGTCAAGGAGTGTGAAGACCACAGGATCAGTGAGGTTGAGCACCGCACTGCATCAGAAACGGTAATGTGCAACAATGCCAACGTGTAAGAAACACATCGGTTACCATCGCAGCTATCCAATCGGTTTCTTGACCACATGGCGTTAGGAACACCGTGGCCTCTCAGAAACACAGAAAGGATGACGATCAACAGGCTGTCGAAGCAGAAGATACATGCGATCAGGAAGAGGAAAGAGTCTGGAAGTGTCAGAAAGTCGTACAAAGCAAAATCTGAGTTGAACGCCTTTATAGACGACGTTCCTGATCCTGAGGGCGTCGACGCTTGCTCATCCGTGGAAAATGATCGCGCGCCGACGGAGACTGCAACAATTCAAGTGAACAGTCAGCACCAATTCTGACCAGCAAGTGCAAAAACTTGTGTAAAAGCCGTGTCGTCTTGAACTCACCTTGAATAGCATATTTCTTCCCTATAATAATGATTCGGGTTTGTCGAGACACACAATGAGAGCAAAGAGTACGTTAGATAGAGTCCGATGGAAGAACGCAGGCCACAAAGATTTCGTAGAAGAACGACGGAGGTAGAGACGAAGGATCAGCAGAATAAGAGCTATTGTGTACCTGATGGTCCTGGAAGATCGACGACCTCCAACACTGCAGAATCCCGACAGATAAAAGAACGAAAGAGGAAAGAATGATTTCACGTAACGCTACCGGGTCAACAAAGAATGCTGGGTGAACGGACAAGTTGACGTTTGCACGCCATTGGATGAGTAATGACACTAAAGAATGTCAGTTGACTGATTAATCTTATCTCAGCAACTATGCGTACCTGTGATTCGCACGGTGCCAGGCATGGCTGAGAGCAGCTGTCACTAGAGCTTCTCCAACTAAGGATTTAGGGATGTCACGTGCAGCTTCAGTAATGGTACCAAAAGAAAACCACCGCTACAAGCAGGTCCCGAGAACTCGCTAAACGTAATCCTCACCGAGAAGCAATGCGTATTTCATAGCACGTGTCAAAAGGGCTCTATTAGCGTCAGCCTTACAAGCAGCAAAAGCAGTCACTACCCCTGTAGGCTAATGAATCCGAGCTAACATGATGACTTACTGGCAATTCCAACAGCCATTACAAAACGACCTCAGGGATTGCCTACACACAGGAGCACAAGAATCAGCGGAAGCAGACGAGGGTGCCTTCGAATTTGACGATAATCGTTCAAAACAGAAATTGGTACCCACATGCTGTCCAATTGTCAGTGTGGCCGTCAGCTTTCCTCACGTGTCAGTGGATTTCGCCCGTGTTTGGACGTCTGTTTGTAATCGTGCTCGATGCGAGCCCCAGACGCTTCCGCAATCCCAATGTACACATCAGCAATTTGCGATTTCGGCATGCGATTCCTCGCTAGTGGGACCACAAAATTGTTTCCCGCCAACACTTTTCAAACGACCTGTCCCTCCCTGCACTGGCGTCTCAGAAAGAGCCTGCAGCAGCGTCTTTGTAGTGCGCGCCATTAGTGTAGCACAAGTGTAGCATATACACTGTACAGGTAAGCAAATGTATTCCCGCCAATTACGAGTACAGTAATAATCACACAAATTCACGCAAACGAAAATGCCACATCCTCATCCTGTACAGGCATGCCTTCATAGTCGTGCCTTCAGGTCCTTGCGCAACACCTTGCCAGAAGCGGTCTTTGGAATAGCATCCACAAATATCACATCGTGAAGCCTCTTGTATGTCGCCACCTGCAGCAAACAAAATAACATGACATTCTCCCATGATTTCTGCAGGTGATACTATATGAACTGTGCATTCATTAATTACACTCACCTGCTTGCTGATGAAATCCTTGACTTCGTTGACTGACAGCTTGGCACCACCTTGACGTAGCACAACAAACGCCACCGGCACCTCCCCACTCTCTTCACTTGGGGCACTGTGAAAGGTGGAAAGGGGGAAAACAGTGCAGGGCTCGATGCAAAATGACCCGTAAAATGGTCCACGGCATCATACCGCCACACTGCCAAAGAAATATAGCTGCAGCAGTGAGAGTGCAAGATGCGAGAGCGGCAAACAAGGCAAGAGAGGCGAGAGGATGGAGGCGTACGGAACAACTGCAGCATCGGCAATGTCATTATGGGCGATCAGCAGACCCTCCAGCTCTGCAGGAGGCACCTGAGGGAGCAAGAAACAAAGAAATGGGCAAGTCAGAAAGCAAGACAAGACAAGTTCGAGGGCACAAAAGAAAAGAAAAGAAAAGAAACATTTTTCCTAATGTGCAGCAGACATTTCGCTACAGTCACATCCCAACTGGAAGCTCCAGTAAGTTCCTTTAGTAAGTTCCTTGACTCGGTCCACCACGAAGATCTCCCATCCCCCCCACCCCTCCCATCCCCAAAAGCCACATCCCCAACTGAAACAAACAGTCACATCGTCACACCTCATTGGAGCACCAGTTGTAGCAGTCACATCCCACCTGGAAGCCTTTCACTTTAATGAGCTCTTTAACTCGGTCCACCACGTAGATCTCCCCCTGGCCATCCACATACGCCACGTCACCAGTGCGCAGCCAGCTGTCAGGCGTGAGTGTGGCTGCTGTGGCCTCGGGGTTGTTCAGATAGCCTTTGGAAGAGAGGCAGGCAGAATGGAGGGCATGAGGGATAGGGGGGAATGGGTTTGATTTGGGGGGATGGGCGCGATGTAGAGATAGGGTGGAGAGGGGCGGGGGAAAGGGGGTCGCTGAAATGGTCACTGGTTGAAAAGGGGACTGGTGGGTGGAGGGGTGCGAAGCGTTGGAGAGGGAGGCACGGTAGAGGAAAAGGGAAAACCGTAATGGGAGGACACATACAGACTCATGCTTGAACCTGCGGAGAAGCTAAGAAAACGCACCTTTCAAGACGTGCACTTAACCAACGTTCACGCCGTCACACCTAAACACAACCCCACACCCACACCCACACCCACACGCCCACCTTTCATGACCTGTGGCCCTCGCACCCAAAGCTCCCCTCTCTCGTTGGGGGGCAGCGACTCCCCCGTGCCCGTGTGCACCACTTTGACTTAGGTCAGCAGCACCCACCCACACGACCTGAGAGCAGGCTGGCCGGAGGATGGGGCACCTGAAAGCACACCTTGATATGCACGCGCACCCACCTTTCATGACCTGTGGCCCTCGCACCCAGAGCCCCCCTCTCTCATTGGGAGGCAGCAACTCCCGCGTGCTTGTGTGCACCACTTTGACCTCAGTCAGCAGCAGCACCGACCCACACGACCCGGGAGCAGGCGGGCGGGGCACATGAAAGCACACCTTCACACACTCACACCCACCCACCCACACGCACACACCTTTCATGACCTGCGGTCCTCGCACCCAGAGCTCCCCTCTCTCATTCGGAGGCAGCGACTCCCCCGTGCCCGTATCTACCACCTTCACCTCCGTCAGCGGTAGCACCGACCCGCACGATCCGGGAGCGGGCGGGCGGGGCACGCGGGCAAAGAGGCGCGAGGCAGTGACGGTGGGAGATGCCTCTGTCATGCCGTAGCCCTGGGAGAGGGGAGGAGAGAAAGTGTGCTTGTATTTACCACCTTCACTTCTGTCAGCGGTAGCACTGACCCGCATGACCCGGGAGCAGGTGGGCGGGGCACGCGGGCAAAGAGGCGCGAGGCAGTGACGGTGGGAGATGCCTCTGTCATGCCGTAGCCCTGGGAGAGGGGAGGAGAGAAAGTGTGCTTGTATTTACCACCTTCACTTCTGTCAGCGGTAGCACTGACCCGCATGACCCAGGAGCAGGTGGGCGGGGCACGCGGGCAAAGAGGCGCGAGGCAGTGACGGTGGGAGATGCCTCTGTCATGCCGTAGCCCTGGGAGAGGGGAGGAGAGAAAGTGTGCTTGTATTTACCACCTTCACTTCTGTCAGCGGTAGCACTGACCCGCATGACCCGGGAGCAGGTGGGCGGGGCACGCGGGCAAAGAGGCACGAGGCGGTTACGGTGGGTGATGCCTCTGTCATGCCATAGCCCTGAGGGGAGGAAGAGGGAAAGGGATGCGGGGTGCGGGAGGTGAGAGTTTGTTCAAGGCTCAAGAAAAAAAGGCGGAAGTGGGGGAGCGCGGGTGAAAAGGCGCGAAGCAGTGGCGGTATGTGGTGGTTCTGTCATGCCGTAGCCCTACCTGCCCCAGCTGCACCTACCTGCCCCAGCTGCACCTACCTGCCCCAGCTGCACCTCCCTGCCCCAGCTGCACCTACCTGCCCCAGCTGCACCCATTCAATGCCCACCTGCCCCAGTTGCACGGTTGGGAATTTCGCTCTGAAGGCGGTCTCCAGCTCAGCACCTAGAGGAGCCGTGCCCGACACGACCCGGCGCAGCGAGGAGAGGTCAAAGGAGTCAACGAGGGGCAGCTTGGCCAGGTGGATTACCTCACAGACACACACCCCATGCCTACCTGCCCCAGCTGCACTGCTGGGAATCTCGACCGGAAGGCAGTCTCGAGCTCCGCCCCCAAAGGAGCTGCTCCCGACACGACCCGGCGCAGCGAGGAGAGGTCAAAGGAGTCAACGAGGGGCAGCTTGGCCAGGTGGATTACCTCACAAATGTGAGAATAAAAGTTGGAAGAGAAGTTGTTATTGAATTGAGGAGAATGGGGGTTTACATAGGGAATGGGTTGGATCCTAGCCTAGGTGACCATTGTTGGACCCCACCCATGAGGTTGGGTTGGGGAATTATTGGTGGGGTCCAATAATGTTGGCCAAGTTGGGGTTGGGCCAACATTATTGGTGTGAACCAATAATTCTACCCAACCCAACCTTTGGGGTCCAATAATTGGACCAAGGTTGGGTTTCCAACCTACAAATTGGGTAACCCCTGCTTGTACACCCAAACTAAGTTTGGGTGCTTATCTCTAGCCTATCCTATAACATCTATGCAGGTTACAAGAGAAGATAGATTCTAACACAACCCCTTAACCTGCAGAGATGTGGAAAGGCTTGAGGGAAGCAACCCCTGAATCAAGGCGCGCCTGGGGGAGCGAGGCCGATGAGGCGGAGAAGAGCAGAGTGCGCAGGGCGAAGAAGTGGTTTGGTGAAGATATCTGCCAGGTTGGCTTCAGCGGCGATCTTGCGAACGGCGATGAGATTCTGTTGGACGAGTTCACGGATGAAGAAATAGCGGAGCTCAATGTGCTTGGAGCGACCGTGAAAAACGGGGTCTTGGGTGAGATGGATGGTGCTGGCATTGTCACACCAGAGGGTGGGGCAGCGCTGGGGAACACCAAGCTCAGCTAGGAGGAAGCAGAGCCAGCGGGACTCTTGCGCGGCCATGGTGCCAGCATAGAGCTCAGCTTCACAGGAGGAGAGGGCGATGGCGGAGGAGCGAGTAGAGCGCCAGCTGATGAGGCCGCTACCGAGGGTGAAGCCATAGCCTTGGGAGGAGCGGCGGTCTGGCTGGCAGTCTGCCCAGGAGGAGTCGCTGAAGCCAGAGAGAAGGGGGGGGGAAGATCCACCCAGTGTGAGAGCGTGGTCCCTGGTGCCACGAAGATAGCGGAGGACTCGCTTGGCGGCAGTCCAGTGTTCCTCAGTGTGGCGGCCGGGGCCGACGAATCGAGCAAGGACGCTGACAGGGTAGGCGAGGTCGGGACGAGTGCACATCATTGCGTACATCAGCGACCCAACAAGCTCGGCGTAGGGCCGGGAGGAGTTGGAGGGGGAGGTGGGTGGCGCAAGCTGGTGACCGAAGGGGAGGGGTGTGGAGACTGGTTTGGCTTGTGCCATCTCGAACTTTTCCAGGACCTGGCCGATGTAGTGGGACTGGGAGAGGGTGATGGTGCGGGCGGATCGATCACGAGTGATAGCCATGCCGAGGTAGTTCTGGAGGGGACCAAGGTCCTTGCACTTGAGACGTTCCTGAAGAGACCGTTTCACTTGATCCATGTCAGTCCTGGTGTCAGCGAGCAGGATCATGTCATCGACGTAGACCGAGATGAAGAAGCGACTGGGGGAAGAGCGGATGAAGAGGCTGGCGTCGGAGTGGGAGGGGGAGAAGCCAAGGGACTGGAGAGTAGCAGACAGCTTCGCATGCCATTCTCGTGGTGCCTGCTTCAGGCCGTAGACCGGTCGCTTCAGCTGCCAGACGGTGTTGTCGGGGAACGTAGCATGGAACCCGGGAGGTCGGCGGAGAAAGATGCGTTCGTGCAGTTCACCTTGCAGGAAAGCGTTGGAGACGTCCATGGAGTCAATCTCCATGTCGTCCCGCGCACCGATATCCATAAGGGTGCGTAGGGTGGCTTGCCTGAGGGTGGGGGCAAATGTGAACCAGTAGTCCTCAGCCCAGGTCTGGGTGAACCCCTTAGCAACATAGCGGGCTTTGTAGACTGGTTCCTCTCCCGGCAGCTGTTTGACTCGAAAGATCCACTTGCCCTCGACAAGGTTGGCGTCAGGGGGAAGGGGAACGTCGATAAAGGAGTCGTTGCGGATGAACGCCTCACATTCCAGGAAGATAGCGGCTATCCACTTGTCAGCGTCAGGGCAGGTGATAGCTTCCTGGAAGGTGGTGGGGACGAAGATGGTGGGAGCGGAGATCGCGCTAAGGAGTAGAGCGCCGAGGAGGTCGGGGTAGAGGGTGGAAAGAGAGGGAGTGTGGCGCTGGACCATGGCGAACTCCTCATGGGAGTCCTCGAGCTGGCTGAGGGAGGAAGGTGGCGGAGTGCCAAGGATGGGATCAAGAGAGCGGGTGTGCATGCGAGGGAGGAGGAAAGGTGAGGAGCGGGCAATCGCCCTCCGCCGCTGTTGCTGCTGGTGCTGCTGGAACCCCTGCTGCTGCTGCGGCTGCTGCCTCTCCTGGTTCTGCTGCCCCTGCGGCTGCTGCTGCTGCTGCCCCGGCTGCTGCTGGTGCCGCTGCTGTTGTTGCTGCCCCTGCGGCTGCTGCTGCTGCTGCTGCTGCTGCTGCTGCGGCTGCTGCTGCCGCCCCTGCGGCTGCTGCTGCTGCCCCTGTGGATGCTGCTGCTGCTGCTGCTGTTGCGGCTGCTGCTGCTGCCCCTGCGGCTGCTGCTGCTGCTGCTGCTGCTGGGATGGATGATAAGGAGAGTGGGAAGGAGAGGAGGGAGGGGGAGCTGCGGAGTGTGCAGGGGATGTTGGAGCAGTGGGATCGTAGATATCGGCAGATGAAGGTGGCGGAAGCGGGGTGGGGAGGGGTGGAAGAAGAGGTGCTGGAGGGAGGAGGGGAGGGAGGACAGTGTCGGTCCAAGCGAGAGGACGTGTAGGAGGAGGGAGGGGGTCTGGTGGTGGGAGGAGTAGTATGGGGTGGTCTCATCGAACACAACGTCGATGCTGCGGATGAGGCGACCAGAGGGAGGGTGGAGGAAAAGGTAACCGGGCGAGTCGCGGTTGTGGCCAAGGTAGACACACTCGAGGGCACGAGGAGCGAGCTTGCCGTGGGTGCGTTCAGGTGGAGGGATGAGCACATATGCCTTGCAACCCCAGACACGGAGTCCAGCGGCGTCAGGTTTGGACCCTGACCAGAGCTCCGTGGGGGTAGTGGCAGTGTGTTGGGGATGGGAGTGAAGGTTGAGGAGGAGGGAAGCATGAAGGAGGGCATAGCCCCAGAGAGAAGGGGGTGTGGAGGCGTGAGCGAGGAGACAGCGGGCGATCTTAGTGATTTCGCGGATGCGGCTTTCTGCGATGCCGTTCTGCTGTGGGGAGTGGGGAAGAGTGTGGGTCTGTTGGATGCCATGAGTGGTGCAGTAGTGAGAGAGAGTGCGATTGAGGAATTCGCCTCCCCCATCAGAGTGGAGGCGGCCGATGGGACGTTTGAAGTGGGTGCGGCATTGTTCTGCCCAGCGAATGATCATGGTCGGCGCCTGATCTTTTGTGTGGAGGAGGAAAACGGTGGAGTAGCGGCTATGATCGTCAACAAGAACCAGCATGTAGCGATGGCCTTGGCGTGAGCGGGTGGGAGAGGGCCCCCAGAGGTCCATATGGACGAGGTCAATTGGTGCAGGAGCAAAGGAGGGGTGGCTGTGATGAGGGGATTGTTTGAGTTTGCCGTGGATGCAGGAGGGGCATGGGGGGGCCGGGGAGGAGGGAAGGGGAGGAAGGGTGGGAGGGAGGCTGTGAAGAAGTCGTGAGGTGACGGCAGTGCGGAGAGCGGCGAAATTGGGATGGCCGAGTCGGTGATGTAGGAGAACAGCGGGGTGGGAGAGATGGTCGGAGGTGGAGGGGGCTGGAACGAGTGAGGGCGGGATGAAGGAGTGGGAGGATGGTGGAGTGGGAGGGGAGGGAGGGAGATGGGGAGGGCTAGTGGAGGTACCCGCACGAGTGGTGACATGACAGGAGGATGGCCACGGAGTGCGGAGAGTGTAGAGGCGAGTGCGGGGGCAGAGGGGTATGCGGAGGAGGAAGCGGCCGGAGGCAGTATGGTAAAGGTCACAGTAGGTGGCATTACCAGGATAGACCGCAGTGATACCTGCACCTTGGATTTCACGGTGGGAGAGGAGGTTGTTTCGGAGAGTGGGGATGTGGAGACCAGTTACCTTACCAGAGGGGAAGAGTGAGCAGGGGAGAGTGGAGAGGTGTGTGCATGGGATGGTGAAGCTGCTGTCAGCACCGTGAACTTGAGTGGGAGGGGAGAGGGGTGTGAGTGTACCAGCATCTTTGAGAGCAGTTTCAGTGGCCCCACTGTCTAGGACAAAGTCCAGAGTGGGCGAGGAGGAGGAAGACACGGAGTACTGGAACGTGGTTTCATTAATGTTGGATGGGTACATGGAAGGAAGAGAGGGTGAGACAGAAATGTTGCCAAGAAAGCTTTCCTGAGTGAGAGGGGTGGCAGTGCCACTGGGGGGAGGTGGAGCACCCCAAAGGGGAGCCGGGGAAGCCTGGGCGGCCATGGCTGCTGTGCCAAAGTTTAGCTGCTGCTGCTGCCAGGGAGGAGGGCTGGGTCCCCACTGGGGCTGGGGCCCTGATCCCCATGGGTGCTGCTGCTGCGGCTGTGGGTAAAACAGCTGCTGTAACTGCTGCTGCGGCTGCTGCTGCTGCTGCTGCTGCTGCTGTTGCTGCTGCTGCTGCTGCAGGAGGTGCTGCTGCTGGAGGTTGAGGAAGGGCGCGGGGGGAGCAAGGAGGCGGAGGTGGGCGGGGAGATAAGCGGGGTTGGTTTGGATGTCAGTGGGGGAGGGACGTGGGGAAAGTGTTGCCCACTTGGGAGGATTGCCAACGTTGCCTCGTGCGTACCATGCATCATCGAGGATCTTGAAGCAGGTGGCAGGAGGGTGGTTGGTCTGTCCGCAGGGGGTGCCAGCCCGGGGACCATAGCGGCGGACATAGGTGCAGGGCGGAAGAGTACCAGGGCGGGTCCCACTGGTTGCAGATGCTCCGCCTGTATTGGGGGTGCCATGCTCGTCAGGTGCCGCTGCGTCTGTTCGCGTTGCTGTTGCCTTGGCCACTACCTCCCTTGCCTCCACCACCCCCCTTGCCGTTGTTCTTGCCCTGCTTGCGGGGCTGAGTAGCGTTGAGGGAGGAGGAGGAGGGTGGGGAGGAGGCGAGGTTGATGATGGGGGTGCGAAGTTTGACTTCGGTGTCTATGATCCACTGTTCAACGGAGGCGAGATCGGCTAGGGGATTGGCCTCGGTAAAGGCGTGAAGGCGGGATTCATAGTCGGGAGTGAGGTTAAACAGGAGGCGATGGATTTGGAGAGGTTCGGAGAGGCCGGCTTGGCGGGCTTCGAGACGGTCAGCTACCTCCCGCATGCGTCCGATGTAGTCGACCGCTCCGTCACAGGTAGCAAGGGTGATTGAGAAGTATTCTTGGAACAGGATACCGACCGAGCTGATGTCGCGGCGTTCGAACATCGCATGGAGTTCTGCCCAGATGACCGAGGCCCGAAGCTCTCGAGCCTGGAAGCGGCGCATGAGGGAGTCAGGGAGAGCCCCAAGGAGAACGGTGCAGGCACGAGTGTCAGCAGTTGTCCAGGCGATAAGTTTCGGGATGTGGGTGGCCATGTCGTCTTTGTATTTGGCGACGACGGCGAGGTGAGCGTTGCGGCCAGCAACCGCCTGGTCATAGGCTTCGACTGCTGCATCGTACTCTGCTTTCTTGATAAGGTACGCACGGCGGCGTAAGATGAAGTCTGCATCAGCGGCGGCTTGGTCGCCTGTGCTTTGGAGGTCGGGTTCAAGAGGAGGATCGTCGGGGGAGGGAGGGAGAGGAGGAGTCTCGCCTGGGTGTTCAGGTTCGGTGGGGGGGAGTGCCTGGGGACGGCGGAGGAGGACATCAAGGACACGGTAGGGGGGAACCCATGCGTCGGAGAGAACTCGTCGGATGCTGCCGACGAAGGAGTGCCAATTAACGGCGGATTTGTCTGCGGCAAGCTGCAGCTTATCGACGGAGGACGTATCAATAGGAGGAGGGAGGGGGGCGGGGGAAGGTGCGGCGGTAGCCATGGAGGACGGCCGCAGGGAGACCCGCAGTGGTCACGGAGGAGAGGGAGGTGAGGCGGCGACGAAGCCGCAGAGGGGAGCGGCGCGGACGGCGGCGGCTGGTGGGGCCGCGGTGGCGTTGGCGCGGAGGCGGCGACGAGGCCGTGAGGGGAGCGGTGCTGGCGGTGGCGGCTGACGAGACCGCGGCGGCGCTGGCGTGGAGGCGGCGTTGGGGCCGCGGAGAGGCGCGGGCGGCGGCGGTAGCTGGCGCAGCCGCGGCGGGACAATCGCGGAGGCGGCGACGAGGTCGCGGGAGGGAGCGGCGCGGACGGCGGCGGCTGGCGAGGCCGCGGCAGTGCAGGCGCGGAAGCGGCGACGGGGTCGCGGGAGGGAGCGGCGCGAGCGGCGGCGGCTGGCGAGGCCGTGGCAGTGCAGGCGCGGAAGCGGCGACGGGGTCGCGGGAGGGAGCGGCGCGAGCGGCGGCGGCTGGCGAGGCCGCGGCAGTGCAGGCGCGGAAGCGGCGACAAGGCCGCGGGAGGGAGCGGCGCGAGCGGCGGCGGCTGGCGAAGCCGCGGCGGTGCAGGCGCGGAAGCGGCGTCAAGGCCGCGGGAGGGAGCGGCGCGAGCGACGGCGGCTGGCGAAGCCGCGGCGGTGCAGGCGCGGAAGCGGCGACAAGGCCGCGGGAGGGAGCGGCGCGAGCGACGGCGGCTGGCGAAGCCGCGGCGGTGCAGGCGCGGAAGCGGCGACAAGGCCGCGGGAGGGAGCGGCGCGAGCGGCGGCGGCTGGCGAAGCCGCGGCAGTGCCGGCGCGGAAGCGGCGACGGGGTCGCGGGAGGGAGCGGCGCGAGCGGCGGCGGCTGGCGAAGCCGCGGGAGTGCAGGCGCGGAAGCGGCGACGGGGTCGCGGGAGGGAGCGGCGCGAGCGGCGGCGGCTGGCGAAGCCGCGGCAGTGCAGGCGCGGAGGTGGCGACGAGGCCGCGGAAGGGAGTGGCGGCGGCGACGGCGGCTGGTGGAGCCGCAGTGGCGTTGGCGCGGAGGCGGCGTCGAGGCCGCGGAATGGGGCGGGCGGTGGCGGTCGGCGGGACCGCGACAAGGCGAGCGCGGAAGCGGCGGTGGGGCCGGGGAAGGGAGCGGCGCAGGCCGTAACGGCTTGGGAGGCCGCGGGGCTGAGAGGGAGGGAGTGCTTGAGGAGAGGGGGGGAGGCGAGGTAGCCGCGGAAAGATGAGAAAGGAGGCCGGGGGTTGCGGCGGCCTTAAAAAAAACTAGGAGCGTAGGCCTAGGATTTTTAAGAGCTCTATACCATGTGAGAATAAAAGTTGGAAGAGAAGTTGTTATTGAATTGAGGAGAATGGGGGTTTACATAGGGAATGGGTTGGATCCTAGCCTAGGTGACCATTGTTGGACCCCACCCATGAGGTTGGGTTGGGGAATTATTGGTGGGGTCCAATAATGTTGGCCAAGTTGGGGTTGGGCCAACATTATTGGTGTGAACCAATAATTCTACCCAACCCAACCTTTGGGGTCCAATAATTGGACCAAGGTTGGGTTTCCAACCTACAAATTGGGTAACCCCTGCTTGAACACCCAAACTAAGTTTGGGTGCTTATCTCTAGCCTATCCTATAACATCTATGCAGGTTACAAGAGAAGATAGATTCTAACAACAAACACACACCCCATGCCTACCTGCCCCAGCTGCACTGCTGGGAATCTCGACCGGAAGGCAGTCTCGAGCTCCGCCCCCAAAGGAGCTGCTCCCGACACGACTCGGCGCAGCGAGGAGAGGTCAAAGGAGTCAACGAGGGGCAGCTTGGCCATGGCTAGGATGATGGGCGGCACGATGGGGGCGACGGTGACTCGGTAGTCCTGCAGTGTTCGCAGGTACTGGTGCAGGTCGAACCTGGGGGGGGGGGGGGGGGATGGAGGGTGCGGCAGTAAGAGGCACAGCCAAGACATGAGGATGTTTTGAGCAACCTAACCCTGGACAGCTCAAACCACAATGGGTCTTGTGCAGCTGCAGAGTCTGCAGGTACGGCCGCAATGGCTCAACCCACATGGGGCGTGTTGGCTCCAAAACATCTGGGCAAGTTTGGTTCGTAAGTCACCCGGGGAGGGTTAAGTTAGAAGCTACCTGGGAAGGGTGACGACACACGCGCCGCCACGGAGTGAGAGCAGGTTGACGAGGGTGATGGCGTAGATGTGGAACATGGGCAGCAGCCCCAGCACCACGTCCTCCCCACACAGGTCCAGCCGCGGGTTGGTGCCCGCCAGCAGCTGCTGCACATTGGCTATGAGGTTGCGGTGGGAGAGCATGACGCCCTTAGACACGCCCGTTGTTCCTGATGAGTAGGGCAGTGCGCACGTGTCGTGCTGGGATGGTACCACTGCTGCTGCTGCTGCTGCTGCTGCTGCTGTTCTGTGTGCTGTGTAAGAGGGCGGTTGTTGCTGTTGGTGGTGGTGCTGGTGCTGAAGGGTGCGGTGGAGGTGCTGTCGCTGTGATCGGATCTTGGACCCGTTGGCACGGAGCAATCGGTCGATGCTGATCGTGCCCAGGGGGTTGGACCTGCTGCTAGTGCTGCCGTTGTGGCTGCTGTCGTTATTGATGACGACAAAGACGATGGACTGGCCTGTGTTGACGTGATGCACCTTCTCTGGAGGGTCATGGAGTAGGGTTCATGGAGGGAGGGCAACAGTAGGAGGGGTTTGAGTGCACGATGGTACAGCAGATGCATCACGCATGGCATTGCAGCAGTCAGACACATGGCATGGCATGACGTTTCAGAACATTTCACAGTATCACCTTTCCTCATACACACCCTAACAAGCAGCTCTGGCGAACACACCCAATGCAGCAGATCACTCAGAGTGATAACGATGAGCACACGACCCATGTAACCCACTATCCGTGCAACCAGCAGTTCAAGTGAAACCATGTTGCACCTAGCAGCTCTGGCGAGGTGATGACCATGCGTGCCCCCACGCCCACCATCTGGTGCGCCAGCTCACGAGGGGTGGAGACACCCTCCTGACCACCGTAAGGCACATGCACCTACTAATGAAGCACAGAGTCGTACGCACCTAGCAGCTCTGGCGAGGTTATGACCATACGTGCCCCCGCGTCCACCATCTGGTGCGCCAGCTCACGAGCGCTGTAGGTGGGATTGAGATACCATTCCACAGCCCATGCACCCACCCACCAGTGAAGCAGAGTCGAGCGCACCTAACGCAGGGTTGAGAGTTGAGACACCCTTCTGCCCACCTCAAAGCCCATGCACCCACCAGTGCAAACCTTTAGAAACACACCTAAGAGCTCGGGTGAGGTGATGACCATGCGCGCCCCCGCATCCACCATCTGGTGTGCCAGCTCTCGCGCGCTGTAGGCGGGGTTGGCGATGGTTACCACTGCACCCGCTGCGATGATCCCGAGGAAGAGCACCGCGTACTCTGGCATGTTGGGGAGCAGCAGCAGCACCGACTCGCCGGGACTGCATAGGAAGGGAGACAGGAGGGAGGGGGGGGAGGACCGGGAGGAGCGGGGTTGGCGGTGGTTACCACTGCACCCGTGGCGATGATCCCGAGGAAGAGCACTGCGTACTCTGGCATGTTGGGGAGCAGCAACAGCACCGACTCGCCGGGACTGGTTTCATGAGGGAGGCATGAATTAGGGGGGAATTGGAGGCAGGGGGGGGGAAGATGGGAGGAAGGTGCAGTGATGGTCCTGGGGAGGAGAACAGAGGAGTGCACAGGGGAAGACGGGATGAACACGTCTGGACTGGACAGCAAGAGAAATTTGCTATCATCTCAAGGCTGGAGCGGTGCACTCAGGCATGCTCTTTTGGTGAGCAGCGGTAGGGAAGGACGCTCTCTTGGGGATTACATTGCATGTAATGGGGAGACATAGGGATGTCGCAGAGAGGCGGAGTGGGTATGGGGAGCGGGACCTGACATGACGTAGTGGAACATTGAAGAGCAGAGCAGAGGACGGTTGCAAGAGCAGAGGATGGTTGCAAGAGGAGAGGATGGTTGCAAGAGGAGAGGAAGAAGGGCACAGGACAGTACAAGATACCAAGATCGGTGATGCCAGCAGCCACGTTGTACACGAGCTCGTCCACCTGCAGGCATGCGATGCAAGAAAAAGAAGGCTACTGAGAGTGTGACATGCCATGGCTGCGTGCCAGTTGAACTACGAGCCTTGAGGTGAATCAACGAGCAGCCACGCTGTACACGAGCTGAGTCACATGCACGCTGCAGCACGCGCACAGCACACACACGCCATGGCTGTGTGTGTGCCAGTCCGTTTGATGCTGTTGTTGCTGCTCCAGAAAGCAACCATTCGTAATCTGCTTGCATCTTTAACCGGAGATTAATGATTCAAAGTGTCGCCTGAACGCACCTAGGGAGTGTCGGTTGGATTCGCCTAGGGAGTCATCTGATCACATGTCATCTTAGCATGTGACATTGCGTAGATGAAACTAGGGAGTGGCACCTGAGCGTACACCATTACATGCATCACCTGAGCTCACGTAAATGCACCGAGAGACGTGACTGAATTCACCCAGGGATTGTCGCCTGAATGCACCTGCTAGGTGAAGTTACCTGGAGTCTTCTGAGCATAAAATACCTGACATTCCGTAGATGAAACTACCGGTAGGGAGTGCCACATGAGCACACATTATTGCATACATCATCTTGTGCAGACGTAATGCACTGAGATTCTCGAGTGAAGTCACCTAGAGACTGTCAGTTGAGCACACGCGAATTCACCTATCAAGAGTCATCTGTGCGTGTATTCACCTTGGGAGTGCCGACTGAATCTATCGCGGGAGGGAGCGTCACCTGAGCGAACGTGAGAGCGCGGCCCGTGACTCCGTCGACGAAGGCGCGTCTGTCGGCCCATCGCGACGCATTCTCGAGAGCGAACTCGGGGAGAAGCACGCCTAGGGAATGTCGCCTGAATGCACCTAGGGAGTGTCACTTGAGCATACGTGAATTCACCTAGGGAGGGTCGACGGTAGGGAGGAAGGATCACCTGAGCATCGTCGATTCACCTAGGGAATGTCAAGCGAATCCACCTAGGGAGGGAGCGTCACCTGAGCGAACGTGAGTGCGCGGCCCGTGACGCCATCGACGAAGGCGCGTCTGTCGGCCCATCGCGACGCATTCTCGAGCGCGAACTCCGGGAGAAGCACGCCGCTCGGGACCGTCACGCCCGCTTCGTCGGGACAACGATAAATGATCTCCATGCTGCAACAATGGCGGACCCCAAGATGTTCAATCTGCAGTCTACTAATTTTTTTTTTTGGTAACAACAAGTATATTACATGCGCATCTTGTGTAGTGGTATCATAGTACCCTCCCACGGTACTGACCGGGGTTCGATTCCCCGGATGCGCAGTCCGCTTTTTGTTCCTCTTTTCGCATTACTAGCCCATTCCCTTTTTCACTTCTCCGTTATCCGCGCGCGACACCTCGTCATTCTGTTTTCCAGCATCCTGAGCCGTCGCCACCTCGCGCCACAGCTTCGTGGATCCGTGCGCGTCGCAGCAGCAGCCCAGTTCGCACCGTCGCATGGCGTCGTGAGTGAACCCTAAGTCGCCCTCCTCTGCCTTTTCCTCGTCGCCTCGCCTACCGTCGCTGCCGCCTAGACCCTCGCTTCTTTTGTCAACTCAAATTCGCCTCCACTCTCGCTGCCTGTCGAGCCTCTTGTCTCCCCCGCGTGCCAACGCTTATGCCTCCATTCTTACTTACCCTCCCTGACCCCCTCCCAGGCACCTGCCCCCTCTTACCCCGCGCCAGCCGTCACCTGCGAACCTCCCGCCGTTAACGTCCCCCATCTTCCCCCCCAACCCCCCTTCCTCTCTCCGCTCACCTCCCCTCCCGCTCCCGCTGTTCTACACCCCGACCCTCCGCGCTTCACAAAATTTCTTCCCGAACCCCCCGCCCCTACCTCCCGTGCTGTTCTACTGTGAACCACACCGCAACGCTTCCCCCATCTTTCCCCCAACCTCCCTTCCCCCCATCCCGACGCGCTTCACCTGAACTCCCCCTATTCCAGCCGCCTCCCTTGTCAGTGAACCGCCCGCCTTGACACCCCCCCAACCTCCCCCACACATGCCCGCCACCACCCACTGCAGGCCGCCGTCGGTGATCCGCCCGCACCACCCCGAATCCTCCCTCTCCCCACCTTCTCCATCCCAACGCACCTGACCTCTCTCCTCCCCCCGCTCCCCACCTGCCCCCCCCCCCAATCTCCCCCACTGCAAGCGCGGCATCAGTGAATCACCTGCCAACACTCTCCTCCCGCCCTCTCCCGTAATCTCCTCCCTTAGTCTCATCCCAACGCACGTGCCCTAACCTCCCATTCCCTCCCCTCCATGGCACGCGGTCTCCTGTGAACCGCCCGCCTACACCCCCTTCCCCCATACCCCTCACCCCCCTCTAAACTCACCTGCCGTACCCCCTTTCCTGCTCCACTGCAGCGGTCGTCTGTGAACCGCCCGCCAACACCCGCCTCACAACTTGTCCATCCCAACTCACCTGCCCTAACATCCCTTCCCACCCTCCCCCCCCTGCAGCGGTCATCAGTGAACCGCCCGCCCACGCCGGAGCCAGAGGGGCGAGTGGGGGGAGGAGGGGAGCCCACCAACACTCCCCTGCCTCACGTACCCCTCACCCCCCTCTAACTCACCTGCCCTTCCCCTACTCTCCCCCCTGCAGGCGGTCATCAGTGAACCGCCCGCCCACGCCCGAGCCAGATGGGCGGGTGGGGGAGGAGGGGAGCCCACGTCGCTGCGACAAGTGGTGGGATGCCAAGGTGTGACTGTATGCGGTGTGGATTTTAACAAGGTGTGAGACTCCGAAGGGTGTTTGACTGCGTCAGGCTGTATGTGGTGAATTTCGCAAAGGAGTTTAAAAAAGAGTCTGACGACTGCCGACTTTCCTCTCTTCTCCGCCCTCGTCCCTCCCTCCCTCCCTCTCCCCTCCTCCCCCTCCCCCCCCCCTCCCCCCTCCCCCCTCCCCCCTCCCCCCTCCCCCCCTCCCCCCTCTCCCCCCTCCCCCTCCCCCCTCCCCCCCCCCCCTCCCCCCTCCCCCCTCCCCCCCCCCCCTCCCCCCTCCCCCCCCCCCCCCCCCCCTCCCCCCGCCCCCCTCCCCCCTCCCCCCTCCCCCCCCTCCCCCCTCCCCCCTCCCCCCTCCCCCCTCCCCCCTCCCCCTCCCCCTCCCCCCTCCCCCTCCCCCTCCCCCCTCCCCCCTCCCCCTCCCCCTCCCCCCTCCCCCCTCCCCCCTCCCCCCGCCCCCCTCCCCCCTCCCCCCTCCCCCCTCCCCCCCCCCCCCTCCCCCCTCCCCCCTCCCCCCTCCCCCCCCCCCCCCCCCCCTCCCCCCTCCCCCCTCCCCCCTCCCCCCTCCCCCCTCCCCCCTCCCCCCTCCCCCCTCCCCCCTCCCCCCTCCCCCCTCCCCCCCCCCCCTCCCCCCTCCCCCCTCCCCCCTCCCCCCTCCCCCCTCCCCCCCCCCCCTCCCCCTCCCCCCCCTCCCCCCTCCCCCCTCCCTCCTCTCCTCTTGCCGCGCACAGCTGTTGGAGAGTGGGGAGAAGGAGCGATTAAAGACGTTGCATGTGCTACCATGTGCTGCCATGTGCTGTCGTCAGCATCTGTGCCAGGACCAGTGAAGGCGGAGCTGCTTCAACGCATTCAGTCCTTCCTCACTACCAAATGACTTGCTACAAAGAAACTCATTGCAATGACCTCATTAAATATGGTGTGATGTGAACTGATCCGACTGACACCACTCGGAATCGAATAAGTGGTAGCCTCAAGTTCATGTTGTATTGTATAGGCTATACAAAGGGGTTCAGCAGTGCCCAACTGTGCAAACAGCAAATCTGTGCATTGAAATAAACATGTACAAAAAATGACATACACACATCCAAAAAAGGTACAGAAACACACCATATTCATATACAATACAGTCATCAGAGGCATACCGTAATTGGGAACCAATAAGAAAAGAAGTTAGTAACTGACATTGAAGTACGAGGGCAGGGCAGGAGGCGGAGCAGCAGTGACATTGAAGTAGGAGGTGTAGCACTCATCTGTGAGGTTGGAGATGTGCTCCAGGAGGAGATCCACGTGGCTCCACTTGGCAATGGGGAAGTGGTGTTTTCAGTGCGAGGCGGATGGAGTGGGAGCGGGAGAGGGTGCGGGCGGGGCAGGAGAAGGAGGAGAAGGAGGAGGAGGAGGTGGTGGAGCAGCAGTGCCATTGAAGTAGGAGTAGTGCTCATCCCGGAGCTCTAAGACGGGCTGCAGCTTGCAATACCGCGTGGCTCCCTTGGCAATGGGGGAGTGGTGTTTTCAGTGCGAGGCGGATGGAGTGGGAGCGGGAGAGGGTGCGGGCGGGGCACGAGAAGGAGGAGGAGAGGGAGGCGGAGCAGCAGAGACATTGAAGTAGGAGGTGTAGCGCTCATCTCTCAGCTCTGAGATGGGCTGCAGCAGGAAATCCCGCGTCGCTCCCTTGGCAATGAAGCTCATGGCGCTGCCTGCTGCCAGACCCCTGTGGACCGAGAAGAGCAGCGCAATAGGAGATGATGGGAGAGAAGAGGTTGCTTTCTCTGAGAGCTGAACCACCAGACTGGCTGCTGCGCTGCCGCTGCTACTACTGCCACTGCCAAGGCTGCTACTGTTGCTGCTGCTGCTAGTGTCCAAAGAAACAACCCACTCGGGGCAGTCTGCCAGCTCCAGCCTCACCCCTTCCTGCCTCGCCCCTTCCTGCCTCGCCCCTTCCAGTTGCAACCTTTCCTGACTGCCCTCCTCTCCAGCAACGAGTCGGAACACAGCAGCCCGCCCAGCGTGGCATGCACCAGCATCTCCAGTCAACTCAGCCTTTCCTCCATGCACCATGTCAGTCCGGCATGCGTCCATCTCACCCCTCGCCCGCCACACCAGCCTTCGCGCCTCCCCCTGAATCTGACCGCCTGACTCTGACCCTGCTGCTGCTCCCTCACCCCTCTCCCCCTCCCCCCGCCCCACACCGCCACCACCACACCAATCCACAGCCAGGAAGCTTCCAGGAATTTCCAGCAACTCCAAGGAGATCTCCCGGCCAATCAGAGCAGCCAAACCCCCGCTGTCCCACCGCCATTCCTCTTCTTCATCCTCCTTACCAATGCCCTCTCCCCTCTTTTCCACTGGCCCTCTCACCCTCAACGTTGCTGACATGGCATCCTCTGTGCCCTCTCCTGGCCTGCCACGTGTCAGCCCAGTCAATAACGGACTGCCACGTGTACCACCACCTCCCATTGGCTGCGTCTCATTGCTCCGGCGCCAGACAACATACTGCTCAATGCTCTCACCACTGCTACTGGTACTCTCGTCACTGTCCCGCCCCTGCTGACGTGGCAGCTGATGAGGCGTCTCACGTGGCGGTGCGAGCAGCGACAGGGAGATCAGCTGCTGGTTGAGTGTCTCAGCGTCCACAGGGCGGATCCACGTGGCAGGGTGTGACGGGTCGAAGCCCGGGATGAGCTGGCGATCACCGTCCGTTAGGCCGACCAGGAGATGCGGACCGAAGAGGATGGAGTGCAGCGAAGAGTACTGGGGACGGTCGTCTGTGACATGACATGGGAAAGGGAAGAGTGGTGGTAGGGAGCATAAGGTGAGTACGGCTGGCTGGCGATGCGGGCCGAAGAGAATGGAGTGGAGTGAAGAGTACTGGGGACAGTCGTCTGGGGAATGGGAGGAGGGGGAAAACACAGGGGAGGGGAAAACGGGAGGGTGGACAGAGTTTCGCGATCGTCGTCCGTTAGGCCGACCAAGACATGAGGACTGAAGAAAATGAAGCATTGTGAGGCGTATTGGGGACAGTCATCTGTGGTACATGAGAGGAGAAAGGGAGGAGGGAGGGAAAGGAAAACAGGGGAGGAGAGAAGGGGAGGGTGGTTGCCGTCCATCAAGTCTTGGACTACCTTGCCGTCCAGTAAGAGATGCAAAGGAAGTCTTGGATTCAAAGCACAGCAAGCCTGAGAAATCTCAAAAGCGACTAAGAGATGCGGGGCCAAAGGGAATGGAGTGGAGCGAGGCGTACTGGAGGCGATCGTCTGGGGTATGGGAGCAGGGCGGAGGGGTATGGGAGCAGGGCGGAGGGGTATGGAGCAGGGCGGAGGGGTATGGGAGCAGGGCGGAGGGGTATGGGAGCAGCAGGGCGGAGGGGTATGGGAGCAGGGCGGAGGGGTATGGGAGCAGGGCGGAGGGGTATGGGAGCAGGGCGGAGGGGTATGGGAGCAGGGCGGAGGGGTATGGGAGCAGGGCGGAGGGGGTATGGGAGCAGGGCGGAGGGGGTATGGGAGCAGGGCGGAGGGGGTATGGGAGCAGGGCGGAGGGGTATGGGAGCAGGGCGGAGGGGTATGGGAGCAGGGCGGAGGGGTATGGGAGCAGGGCGGAGGGGTATGGGAGCAGGGCGGAGGGGTATGGGAGCAGGGCGGAGGGGTATGGGAGCAGGGCGGAGGGGTATGGGAGCAGGGCGGAGGGGTATGGGAGCAGGGCGGAGGGGTATGGGAGCAGGGCGGAGGGGTATGGGAGCAGGGCGGAGGGGTATGGGAGCAGGGCGGAGGGGTATGGGAGCAGGGCGGAGGGGTATGGGAGCAGGGCGGAGGGGTATGGGAGCAGGGCGGAGGGGTATGGGAGCAGGGCGGAGGGGTATGGGCGCAGGGCGGAGGGGTATGGGAGCAGGGCGGAGGGGTATGGGCGCAGGGCGGAGGGGTATGGGCGCAGGGCGGAGGGGTATGGGCGCAGGGCGGAGGGGTATGGGAGCAGGGCGGAGGGGTATGGGAGCAGGGCGGAGGGGGTATGGGAGCAGGGCGGAGGGGGTATGGGAGCAGGGCGGAGGGGTATGGGAGCAGGGCGGAGGGGTATGGGAGCAGGGCGGAGGGGGTATGGGAGCAGGGCGGAGGGGTATGGGAGCAGGGCGGAGGGGGTATGGGAGCAGGGCGGAGGGGTATGGGAGCAGGGCGGAGGGGTATGGGAGCAGGGCGGAGGGGGTATGGGAGCAGGGCGGAGGGGGTATGGGAGCAGGGCGGAGGGGTATGGGAGCAGGGCGGAGGGGTATGGGAGCAGGGCGGAGGGGTATGGGAGCAGGGCGGAGGGGTATGGGAGCAGGGCGGAGGGGGTATGGGAGCAGGGCGGAGGGGTATGGGAGCAGGGCGGAGGGGTATGGGCGCAGGGCGGAGGGGTATGGGAGCAGGGCGGAGGGGTATGGGAGCAGGGCGGAGGGGTATGGGAGCAGGGCGGAGGGGTATGGGAGCAGGGCGGAGGGGTATGGGAGCAGGGCGGAGGGGTATGGGAGCAGGGCGGAGGGGGTATGGGAGCAGGGCGGAGGGGGTATGGGAGCAGGGCGGAGGGGTATGGGCGCAGGGCGGAGGGGTATGGGAGCAGGGCGGAGGGGTATGGGAGCAGGGCGGAGGGGTATGGGAGCAGGGCGGAGGGGTATGGGAGCAGGGCGGAGGGGTATGGGAGCAGGGCGGAGGGGTATGGGAGCAGGGCGGAGGGGTATGGGAGCAGGGCGGAGGGGTATGGGAGCAGGGCGGAGGGGTATGGGAGCAGGGCGGAGGGTATGGGAGCAGGGCGGAGGGGTATGGGCGCAGGGCGGAGGGGTATGGGAGCAGGGCGGAGGGGTATGGGCGCAGGGCGGAGGGGTATGGGCGCAGGGCGGAGGGGTATGGGCGCAGGGCGGAGGGGTATGGGAGCAGGGCGGAGGGGGTATGGGAGCAGGGCGGAGGGGGTATGGGAGCAGGGCGGAGGGTATGGGAGCAGGGCGGAGGGGTATGGGAGCAGGGCGGAGGGGTATGGGAGCAGGGCGGAGGGGGTATGGGAGCAGGGCGGAGGGGGTATGGGAGCAGGGCGGAGGGGGTATGGGAGCAGGGCGGAGGGGTATGGGAGCAGGGCGGAGGGGTATGGGAGCAGGGCGGAGGGGGTATGGGAGCAGGGCGGAGGGGGTATGGGAGCAGGGCGGAGGGGGTATGGGAGCAGGGCGGAGGGGTATGGGAGCAGGGCGGAGGGGTATGGGAGCAGGGCGGAGGGGTATGGGAGCAGGGCGGAGGGGGTATGGGAGCAGGGCGGAGGGGGTATGGGAGCAGGGCGGAGGGGTATGGGCGCAGGGCGGAGGGGTATGGGAGCAGGGCGGAGGGGTATGGGAGCAGGGCGGAGGGGTATGGGAGCAGGGCGGAGGGTATGGGAGCAGGGCGGAGGGGTATGGGAGCAGGGCGGAGGGGTATGGGAGCAGGGCGGAGGGGTATGGGAGCAGGGCGGAGGGGTATGGGAGCAGGGCGGAGGGGTATGGGCGCAGGGCGGAGGGGTATGGGAGCAGGGCGGAGGGGTATGGGAGCAGGGCGGAGGGGTATGGGAGCAGGGCGGAGGGGTATGGGAGCAGGGCGGAGGGGTATGGGAGCAGGGCGGAGGGGTATGGGAGCAGGGCGGAGGGGTATGGGAGCAGGGCGGAGGGGTATGGGAGCAGGGCGGAGGGGTATGGGAGCAGGGCGGAGGGGTATGGGAGCAGGGCGGAGGGGTATGGGAGCAGGGCGGAGGGGTATGGGAGCAGGGCGGAGGGGTATGGGAGCAGGGCGGAGGGGTATGGGAGCAGGGCGGAGGGGTATGGGAGCAGGGCGGAGGGGTATGGGAGCAGGGCGGAGGGGTATGGGCGCAGGGCGGAGGGGTATGGGAGCAGGGCGGAGGGGTATGAGCGCAGGGCGGAGGGGTATGGGCGCAGGGCGGAGGGGTATGGGCGCAGGGCGGAGGGGTATGGGAGCAGGGCGGAGGGGGTATGGGAGCAGGGCGGGGGGGTATGGGAGCAGGGCGGAGGGGTATGGGAGCAGGGCGGAGGGGTATGGGAGCAGGGCGGAGGGGTATGGGAGCAGGGCGGAGGGGGTATGGGAGCAGGGCGGAGGGGGTATGGGAGCAGGGCGGAGGGGGTATGGGAGCAGGGCGGAGGGGTATGGGAGCAGGGCGGAGGGGTATGGGAGCAGGGCGGAGGGGGTATGGGAGCAGGGCGGAGGGGGTATGGGAGCAGGGCGGAGGGGGTATGGGAGCAGGGCGGAGGGTATGGGAGCAGGGCGGAGGGGTATGGGAGCAGGGCGGAGGGGTATGGGAGCAGGGCGGAGGGGGTATGGGAGCAGGGCGGAGGGGGTATGGGAGCAGGGCGGAGGGGTATGGGCGCAGGGCGGAGGGGTATGGGAGCAGGGCGGAGGGGTATGGGAGCAGGGCGGAGGGGTATGGGAGCAGGGCGGAGGGGTATGGGAGCAGGGCGGAGGGGTATGGGAGCAGGGCGGAGGGGTATGGGAGCAGGGCGGAGGGGTATGGGAGCAGGGCGGAGGGGTATGGGAGCAGGGCGGAGGGGTATGGGAGCAGGGCGGAGGGGTATGGGAGCAGGGCGGAGGGGTATGGGAGCAGGGCGGAGGGGGTATGGGCGCAGGGCGGAGGGGTATGGGAGCAGGGCGGAGGGGTATGGGAGCAGGGCGGAGGGGTATGGGAGCAGGGCGGAGGGGTATGGGAGCAGGGCGGAGGGGTATGGGAGCAGGGCGGAGGGGTATGGGAGCAGGGCGGAGGGGGTATGGGCGCAGGGCGGAGGGGTATGGGAGCAGGGCGGAGGGGTATGGGAGCAGGGCGGAGGGGTATGGGAGCAGGGCGGAGGGGTATGGGAGCAGGGCGGAGGGGTATGGGAGCAGGGCGGAGGGGTATGGGAGCAGGGCGGAGGGGTATGGGAGCAGGGCGGAGGGGTATGGGAGCAGGGCGGAGGGGTATGGGAGCAGGGCGGAGGGGTATGGGAGCAGGGCGGAGGGGGCGCCAACCGGGGCGGAGGGGGCGCCAACCGGGGCGGAGGGGCGCCAACCGGGGCGGAGGGGGCGCCAACCGGGGCGGAGGGGGCGACAACCGGGGAGGAGGGGGCGACAACCGGGGAGGAGGGGGCGACAACCGGGGAGGAGGAGGCGACAACCGGGGAGGAGGAGGCGACAACCGGGGAGGAGGAGGCGACAACCGGGGAGGAGGAGGCGACAACAGGGGAGGAGGAGGCAACAACAGGGAGGAGAGAAGAAAAGGGTGGATGAGAGCAGAGGTGATCACTGGTTAGGCAGGTCAGTAAGTGCGGGGTGAAGAGGACGGGGTGGAGAAAGGCGTACTGGGGACGATGGTCTGTAGTGTGGGTGGGAGAAGAAAAAGGTGAAGGGGTGACAACAGGGGAGGGGGGGAAGGGCGAGGGAGTGAGATGCAGCAATTGCGGTCTGCTAGTCAGCGAGTGAAGGCCAAAGGGGAGGGATTTGAGAGGCGCAACGCGTGTGAGGGGGGTGGGGAGGTGGTGTGTGGATGTTCAAAAGGTCCACACTTGAATCACTAGTTTAAGAATGTTGTATTCTGCTAGGGGGTAAAGGTGACGTGAGGGAAATGGTTTGGATTTTCAAGAGGTGCACGCTTGACGGTTTACCACGAATGCAATCCACTTGCAGCATGAGGGAGGTGTGGAGGGAGATTTCACCCAGATTTTCAAGAGGATCACACTTGAATGGTTGAGTCTCACCTTGAATGCGCTCCACGCGCAGTGTGAAGGAGATGTTGAGAGAGATGACGTCACCCTCCCTCCACTCCCTCCGCACTCGCAGGAACTTTCCTGGAAGGGACGGGGATAGCAGAATCGCAGAGAGGGGTCTGAATACAGAAGCAGCAGCAGATTCTGCTGAAATCCTTTCGCCCCTTTGTAGCAGCAGATTGCGGGTGACGGCACATGCACGGTCGTTAGAAAGGATTTCTTAACATACAAGAGGGGCGAAAAGGGAAGGGGGGGTGGCAGTAAAACACAGAAGAGGAAGAAGGGAGCAAATGGTGGCTGGCAGTGCAGAGGGTGGGGCAGAAGGGGCAGTGGTAGCAGATTGGAGGGGAACGACGCATGTTGAATGGAAGGCATCTGGTTTTGATGGTACCTGGCTTGGGGCATGGCAGGCTGCCCCCATTGAGTGTGGCGGTGCAGTGTGGGATGGAACCGGAAGCAGAAGAAGCAGACAATGGGGGGCTGAGGGCAGCAATGACTCATGGTTGGTCGAAGTGTTGACTGAGGAAGGTGGTACCTGGCTTGGGGCATGGCAGCCTGGCGCCATTGAGAGAGGCAGCGCAGTGCGGGGTGGAACCGGAAGCAGAGGTAGCAGCAGCAGCCCAGGAGGGAATGCGCAGAAACACCTCAGCTTCTCTGCTGTCTGCTGCTCTGCTCTCTGCTGCCATGCCGCGTTCTGCTGCCCCACCGCCAGCTGCTGCTGTCATTCCTTTTGCTTCTTTTACCCCTTCTCCTCCTCACCAAGGAGGAGATCAGCCAAGGAAGATCCAAGGTGGCACTCACCTTGGATTCTACCACACAAGATCAGCCAAAGTCAATCTCACCTCTGCGCCTGGGCCCATAAAGGGGCACCAGGGTCTCTCACCTTTGCACCATAGCCCTAGTTACCCATGGCCATCACTGCGCGTACAAGCCCATGAAGGTACTCGCGCCTCATCCCAAGCCATAGACTTACACCACACCAAACCACACCAAACCACACCAACCACAACCAAACCACGCTCCTCCACACCCCACCACACTCCACCACAAGTGATTAAGCCCATTACTGAATCATCAAGCAGCCACTCACCCGTGCCGTAGCAGCACCAGAAGGAATCGAAGGGCGTGCCCCAGCCGTGGTAACCACGTGCCTTGCTGTTACCTGCTCCGTGTGGTAACATGTATATCATCACACCTGGAAGGAGGTGAGGAAGGGGGGAAAGGAAAGAGGGGGAGGGGGGAGAGGGGGATAGAAGAAGAGGGGATAGAAGAAGAGGGGGATAGATAGAAGAAGAGGGGGATAGAAGAAGAGGGGGAGGGATGAGGGGGAGGGATGGGAGGATGAGGGGGAGGAGGGATGAGGGGGAGGGATGAGGGGGAGGGATGAGGGGGAGGGATGAGGGGGAGGGATGAGGGGGAGGGATGAGGGGGAGGGATGAGGGGGAGGGATGAGGGGAGGGATGAGGGGGAGGGATGAGGGGAGGGATGAGGGGGAGGGATGAGGGGGAGGGATGAGGGGGAGGGATGAGGGGGAGGGATGAGGGGAGGGTGAGGGGGAGGGATGGGGGGAGGGATGAGGGGGAGGGATGAGGGGGAGGGATGAGGGGGAGGGATGATAGGGGGAGGGATGAGGGGGAGGGAGGGATGAGGGGGAGGGATGAGGGAGGGATGAGGGGGAGGGATGAGGGGGGATGAGGGGGGAGGGATGGGGGGGAGGGATGAGGGGGAGGGATGAGGGGGAGGGAAGGGGGAGGGATGAGGGGGAGGGATGAGGGGGGGAGGATGAGGGGGGGGATGAGGGGGAGGGATGAGGGGGAGGGATGAGGGGGAGGGATGAGGGGGAGGGATGAGGGGGAGGGATGAGGGGGAGGATGAGGGGGAGGGGGGATGAGGGGGAGGGATGAGGGGGAGGGATGAGGGGAGGATGAGGGGGGGATGAGGGGGGGATGAGGGGGAGGGATGAGGGGGAGGGATGAGGGGGAGGGATGAGGGGGAGGGATGAGGGGGAGGGATGAGGGGGAGGGATGAGGGGGAGGGATGAGGGGGAGGGATGAGGGGGAGGGATGAGGGGAGGGATGAGGGGGAGGGATGAGGGGGAGGGCGGGGGAGGGAGGAGGGATGAGGGGGAGGGATGAGGGGAGGGATGAGGGGGAGGGATGAGGGGGAGGGATGAGGGGGAGGGATGAGGGGGAGGGGATGAGGGGGAGGGATGAGGGGGAGGGATGAGGGGGAGGGATGAGGGGGAGGGATGAGGGGAAGGGATGAGGGGGAGGGATGAGGGGGGGGAGGATGAGGGGGAGGGATGAGGGGGAGGGATGAGGGGGAGGGATGAGGGGGAGGGATGAGGGGGAGGGATGAGGGGGAGGGATGAGGGGGAGGGATGGAGTGAGGGGAGGGGGAGGGAGGGATGAGGGGGAGGGATGAGGGGGAGGATGAGGGGGAGGGATGAGGGGGAGGGATGAGGGGGAGGGATGAGGGGGAGGGATGATGGGGGAGGGATGAGGGGGAGGGATGAGGGGGAGGGATGAGGGGGAGGGATGAGGGGAGGGATGAGGGGGAGGGATGAGGGGGAGGGATGAGGGGGAGGGATGAGGGGGAGGGATGAGGGGGAGGGATGAGGGGGGGAGGGATGAGGGGGGGGAGGGATGAGGGGGAGGGATGAGGGGGAGGATGAGGGGGAGGGATGAGGGGAGGGATTGAGGGGGAGGGATGAGGGGGAGGGATGAGGGGGAGGGATGAGGGGGGGAGGGATGAGGGGGAGGGTGAGGGGAGGGATGAGGGGGAGGGATGAGGGGGAGGGATGAGGGGGAGGGATGAGGGGGAGGGATGAGGGGGAGGGATGAGGGGGAGGGATGAGGGGGAGGGATGAGGGGGAGGGATGAGGGGGAGGGATGAGGGGGAGGGATGAGGGGAGGGATGAGGGGGAGGGATGAGGGGGAGGGATGAGGGGGAGGGATGAGGGGGAGGGATGAGGGGGGGGATGAGGGGGAGGGATGGAGGGGAGGGATGAGGGGGAGGGATGAGGGGGAGGGATGAGGGGGAGGGATGAGGGGAGGGATGAGGGGGAGGGAAGGGATGAGGGGAGGATGAGGGGGAGGGATGAGGGGGAGGGATGAGGGGGAGGGATGAGGGGGAGGGATGAGGGGGAGGGATGAGGGGGAGGGATGAGGGGGAGGGATGAGGGGGAGGATGAGGGGGAGGGATGAGGGGGAGGGATGAGGGGGAGGGATGAGGGAGGGATGAGGGGGAGGGCGGGGGAGGGATGAGGGGGAGGGATGAGGGGGAGGGATGCGGGGGGAGGATGAGGGGGAGGGGATGAGGGGGAGGGATGAGGGGGAGGGATGAGGGATGGAGGGATGAGGAGGGGGAGGGATGAGGGGGAGGGATGAGGGGAGGGATGAGGGGGAGGGATGAGGGGGAGGGATGAGGGGAGGGAGGATGAGGGGGGGGGAGGGATGAGGGGGAGGGATGAGGGGGAGGGATGAGGGGGAGGGATGAGGGGGGGGATGAGGGGGAGGGATGAGGGGGAGGGATGAGGGGAGGGATGAGGGGGAGGGATGAGGGGAGGGATGAGGGGGAGGGATGAGGGGGAGGGATGAGGGGAGGGATGGGGGGAGGGATGAGGGGGAGGATGAGGGGGAGGGATGAGGGGGAGGGATGAGGGGGAGGGATGAGGGGGAGGGATGAGGGGAGGGATGAGGGGGAGGGATGAGGGGGAGGGATGAGGGGGAGGGATGAGGGGGAGGGATGAGGGGGAAGAGGGGGAGCAAAGAGGGGGAAGAGGATTGTGTGGCACGCTGAATGTCATGACCCCATATCTTATGGCCCTCCCATGCTAGTCCTTAAAGCGAGGTGAGCACACTCGCACACGCACATCACACTCATATCAATCTCACTCCAGCAGTCAAATCTAGTAAGACAAGTGTCAGCCCATCAACTCACCAGGATGGGTGTCACGCTGAATGCCCATGACCCCATTCATCATGGCCCTCTCATAGTAATCCATGAAATGCACTGAACGCGTCCAGCGCCCTAGCCATACACGTGTCCCCACACTCACCAGGCAGGTCGCCCCTCTCACACACACTCACCCGGCTGTGTGCCGCGCTGAATGCCCATGACCACTTTCATCATGTGGCTCTCACAGTAGTCCATGAAACGAGGAGAGGGGACTCACTCGCACACTCGCGTCATATCACACTCACTTCACTCCAGCACCCTAGTAAGACGAAGCTTTCCCACTTACCAGGCTGTGTGCCGCGCTGAATGCCCATGACTCCATTCATCATTGCCCGCTCATAGTAATCCATGAATCGCACTGAGCGAGTCCAGCGGAAGGAATTGCGCGCCATCTGCACGTGTGGGGGGAGAGCGAGCAGAGGGAGCAGGCGTGCGTACATGAGGTGAGAGCAAGTGGCAGGTGGTGTAGATAGCACGCAGGGCTGGGCTGGTTAAGGCTCGCCCTTTTCATAGCAATCCATGAAGCGCACTGAGCGAGTCCAGCGGAAGGCATTGCGCGCCATCTGCATGGCGGCAGGGGGGGTACAGGGGGAGAGGGGGTGAGAGGGTGAGGCAGAGAGGGGGAGAGGGGGAGAGGGGGAGAGCGGAAGTGGGGAGAGGGGGGACAGGGGGGGAGCGCAGCATGAGGTGAGAGCAACGAGCACTTAAGGCTGGGGTAGCCGAATGCGTTGAATGCGTTCAGTGACTCGCATGCTTTAGCACAAACAAATCAGCGCACCGTTGACCTGCGTTGACCTGCGTTGACCTGAGCTGACCTGCGTTGACCTGCATTGACCTACGTTGACCTGGGCTGACATGACTATTGAATCACCTTGAGCATGTTGTACGTGGTGCACGACTCCTCCACTGCCACTGTTTATGACACGACCGAGGACCGCATTGACCTGTGTTGACCCGCATTGACCTGTGTTGACCCGCATTGACCTGCGTTGACCCGCACTGACCTGCGTTGACCCGCATTGACCTGCGTTGACCCGCATTGACCTGCGTTGACCCGCATTGACTCACCTTAAGCATGTTGTAAGTGGTGCAGGACTCCTGGTCCTCCTGTGCCAGGATGTGCCCACTCCGATGCGGCTCTTGCCTGCCAATGACAGATGAAAATTGTGGCTAAAAAAAAGTGTGGCTCAGGATTTATGTGCTTACCCATCAGACCCCAACAAGACCGCACAAAACCGCCGCAGACCCCAGCGAACCCCACCAGACAGTAGCAGACCGCAGCAAACCGCACCAGACCGCAGCATATGGCAGCAGATTGCACTGACCAGAACTCGAAGGCGGAGGTGCCTCCAGAGGTGAAGGAGTGAGAGGTGTTGACGAGAGAAAGGAAGTGGTGTGAGAGGTGCTGGTGGGGGGGGAAGGGGTGGGGAATGCGAGGGCGGGGTGGAAGGAAGGAAGGAAGGAAGGAAGGAAGGAAGGAAGGAAGGAAGGAAGGAAGGAAGGAAGGAAGGAAGGAAGGAAGGAAGGAAGGAAGGAAGGAAGGAAGGAAGGAAGGAAGGAAGGAAGGAAGGAAGGAAGGAAATGAATCCGCTTGGAATTGGGTGGTGATTCGTACCCGATTTTAACTGCTCAATCCGATCCATACTCAATATAAGCTGTTGAATCCGATGAATACATACCCAATGCTGCTACAAAAAGTTTATACCCGGTATAGGCTGCTACAATAGGTCCATACCTGGTACAAGCTGTCCCCAGTGGCCTCGTATCGCATCTGAGCGCCGATGGCGATGGGGATGTGCGTGTTGGCGTGCAGCCCTGGCAGGTCGTCCGCCCCCACCGCCAGTGGTCCCAGGAAGCACGGCTTGTCAAACAGATGAGCCAGCTCCAAGTGGTTGGGGTCTCTCTGAAGGGCAGAGAGGGGTGCGGGGGGGAGTAGGGAAAGGGATGTGCGTGTTGGCGTGCAGCCCTGGCAGGTCGTCTGCACCCACCGCCAGTGGACCCAGGAAGCACGGTTTGTCAAACAGATGAGCCAAATCTAGGCGGTTGGGATGGCGCTGGGGGGAGAAGCAGATGGGAGAGGGATGTGAGATGGGGAGCAGCCCAGGCAGGACGTCTGCACCCACCGCCAAGGGACCCAAGAAGCGCGGCTTATCGAATAGATGGGCCAGGTCTAGATGGTGGGGTCTTTCTGGATGGGGGTGGATGAGGGGAAAGGGAGCAGAAGCTCTGGCAGGTCGTCCGCGCCTACCGCTAGTGGACCCAGGAAACAACCGTTTTTCAGTCCAAGTTTCTCACTGTCACATTCACTCACCGTGATGGCATAGAGGCGATAAAGCAGGTCGTTCATGCCTCCAAACTCCTCGTTGAGCGACAGCCAATGGCGTGCCACCGTGTGGCGCTCGATGACTCGCTGCACGCGCCCCCGGAAGTACTCCACCATCCACGTCAGCATGCGCAGCGCTGCGTGGTTGCTGGCCAGCTGGTACTGATCCAGCAGACCCGCCATGATCTGCGGGGTGACACGAGGAGGAGAGAGAAGAAGTGGGAGGGGGAGGAGGGATGGAGAAGTGGTTTGGGGGGGGAAGAGAGCATGTGAGGGAGACGAGGAGGGGACACGCAGTTGGTGGTGGTGGTGGCCTTCTTGAGGCGCTTCAAAAACGCGTGCCCAAGAACAGGCCGGCTCGATGACTCGCTGCACTCGCCCTCGGAAGTACTCCGCCATCCACGTCAGCATGCGCAGCGCTGCGTGGTTGCCGGCCAGCTGGTACTGGTCCAGCAGACCCGCCATGATCTGAGAGGGGGGGAAAAGGAGGGAGGAGGAGAAGCGTTCTAGTGAGACAGGGTAGTTGCCGCTGCCCGGCTGCAGGCCAATTGGTACTGGTCCAACAGACCGGCCTTGATCTGTAGGGGGAGGAGGGGGAGAAGGAGTGGATCGAGGGGAGAGAAAGCAGAGGAGCGAGAGGAGGGGAGAGCTCCTCTCCGCCAGGTTGTGTCTGGTGTAGTCATTATACGATGCCATTCCCTCCTCCTCCCGCCTTCCACCCCCCCCCCTCCCACACGGGCTGGATGGCTTGGAGTGATGAAGGGAACATTTCCCCTCTTTTTCTAGCGCCATTCCTGCTCCCCCCTCTTCCCCCCCACCGTATGCACTGTGTAATGGGGCGCCCACACGGGCTTGATGGCTGCCATGCAGTCAAACAACTGCTCTCCGCCCACTCCTCTTGCCCGCCCCCACCCCTTGTTCTCCTCATCTCACGGGGCCCCTACTTTCTCCCCACCCCACCTTATGCACGGTGTAGGAGGTCGCCCACACGGGTTTGATGGCTGCCATGTGGTCAAAGCACTCCCCCTTCCCCCCCTCTCACCCATCCCACATCCCCACTCCCACACCCTCTCTCACCCATCCCCTCCCCACCCCACCTTATGCACGGTGTAGGAGGTCGCCCACACAGGCTTGATGGCCTCCACGCGATCAAACAACACCCCTCCTCCCTTTCGTCCCCTTCTTCCCCTGTCCCCCTCTCTTTCCCCTCTCCCACTTCCCACCTTATGCACGGTGTAGTAGGGAGCCCACACGGGCTTGATTGCTTCAACTCGATCAAAGAACTCCTCGGGGAAAGCAGAGAGGTACCCCGAGCCAATGCGCTGCTGACACGTGTCCAGCTCGCTAACCATGTAGTCCATGCGGGCTTTAAGGGTTGTGTTGCCCGTTGATGCCCATGCCAGGGCTGATGCACTCAGGTAATGCCCTGAGGGTTACGGGAGGAGAGACGGTTGAGGTTTACGAAAAGAGTCAGTTAGTTACGAAAGTAGTAAAGTGTAAGGTCAGTCACTCCCCTTCACCCACACTCCACTCCCTGACCCTCTCAGATACCCACCCCTCCCTCACTCACCCACGAAGTGCCCCCTGAGTTCGCTCTTGGGGTTCTCCCATCCCCCATACGGCTTCCCTATTGCCTCCTCCTCTCCCGCCGTGCGCCAGAGTAACCACAGCAGGCCATTGCTGTCGAGCCATTCACTCACCCTTCCCTCACTGCCTCTCTCCTCCACTCCTCACTACTCCACTCTCCCACTCCCTCTCTCTCCCGTCACTCCCCCACTCCCTCTCTCTACCCCGCCTCCACGGTCCACCCCCCCACTCACCCACAAAATGCCCCCTCAATTCGCTCTTGGGGTTCTCCCATCCCCCATACGGCTTCCCTATTGCCTCCTCCTCTCCCGCCGTTCGCCGGAACGACCAGAGCAGGCGGTGGGCATCGAGCGACAGGAGGTACTGGAGGTTGGTGCTCTGGGCGGCAAACTGGCGGGTGGATGGCGACAGGCGGACGGCGTGTAGTGGAACTGGGGAGAGGAAGTCCGGGTGCTGCTATGCACGGGGGAAATAGGAGAAGGGGGAAAGCGGAATGGGAGGACAGGGGGAAGGGAGGATACGGGAAGGGGGAAGGGGGAATACGGGAAGGGGGAAGGGGGAGAGGGGGAGAAGGGAGAGGGGGGGGGAAAGAGGGTTCGGATTGTGGGTATGGCCGCGTAGGCAACAGCCCGCCAGTTTTGAGATGTCTCAGAAGAGTTTGAGATGTCTCAAAACTTTGAGGCTTCTCACAACCCGTGAGTCGTATTGACGAAAAATTCAAGCTCCAAAACCCACCAACACACATGCACAATCCCTCCTCTCTCAGTAACTTCCCCTTGGTCCTCTCCCCCCCGCCCACCCTATTCCCCTCACCCACCCTCCTCCCCCCTTTTTTCTCACCCACTCCCGCATGGCTCGCTTTCCGCTTTCCCTGTCCCCCTCCCCCTCCGCGTCCTCCCCGTCCGCAGCGGTCCCCCCGTCCGCGGAGTCTGCAGTGCTCGCAGCGTCCGCGGGGGCGCGCGAGGTTCTCCCCGCCAGCGCGTCCGCAGCTGCGCGGCTGTCCGCGTGGTGGCTCAGCACGCGCAGGTGCTCGCGCACCGAGGGACTGAGGAAGGGGGGAGAGGGGGGGGGGTGGTAAGGGGAAGAAGAGGGGAGGAATGGGGAAGGACGTGGCGGGGGGTCAAGTGACTGTCCGCGTGGTGGCTCAGCACGCGCAGGTGCTCGCGCACGGAAGGACTGGGGGGAGGAGGGGAATGGGAGGGGGGGAAGGGGGGAAGGACGTGGAGGGACTTATGTGACAGTCCGCGTGGTGGCTCAGCACGCGCAGGTGCTCGCGCACTGAGGGACTGGGGAAGGGGCGGGGGGAAGAAGGGGAAGGGGAGGGGAGGGGTGGAAGGGGGGAAGACGTGGGAATTCGGCGGGGACTATGTGACTTTCCGCGTGGTGGCTCAGCACGCGCAGGTGCTCACGCACGGAAGAACTGGGGGAGGGACGGGGGAAGGAGGGGAAGAGGAGATGTTGAATAAACTACCTGTGAATGGCGTTAGTACCTGTTGAAAAACTCGTGCGGCTGAGAGAGAATATTGGTTAGCAATATTCCCTCGCAGTGTACCGTGGGAGTGCACTTCCACGCCGCGTTTTGAAACGTGTCGAGTCAAGATGAGTCTGGTACCTATAACGGCGCTCGTACCTATAACGGGGCTCGCACCTGTTAAAGAACTCGTGCGGCTGCGAGGGAATGTTGGTGCACTCCCATGCCGCCGCGCGCCGAGCGGGGGAAAGCAGCAGCGCGCACGCGCACGCCCACACGGACACGCCCACGCAGAGCGACACACGCGGCCACAGCGCGCCGAGCGCCGCAACACGCGGTGAGGCTCTCCGCTGCCCCAGCCGACCGCGGATCCCTGCGGAAGAACGGCCGGCCGCCGCCATGTGCGCGAATTCGCGCCACGCGCAGTTTGAGCCCCGAGTCGAGTTTCCAAGGAGCCGCGACTTGGCAATTCGTGCACTTTCTGGAAGCCGACAAGATTGGCAGGCCTGAGGAGAATGGCAGCCCTGATATAAAGCAGGTTGCAGGCAGACAAGCCCCCTCGTACGGTACGACCTCCGTCCAGAATTATTTTCTTGCTCATATGATATTAGTGAAGTCTAAACAGATCCTTTTCCTGCTGCAGCCGCAATCTCCTCTCAATCCACCAAACGCGTTTGCGCAATTTCAATTCCAAACCAGAACGCGTTCCCTCAACCAAAACTCTTCAGGGAACCGCACTAGACCACATTTCAACGCTTCCAGAAAGACACAAACCGAATTAAACCTCTCTACAGTGGCCTACGTGGCTGGAGCTTTCCATGTCAGAGGAACTATCCGCGCTTGTAAGATCCACTGATATACACGTCACACTCATATACTCCGTATAGAATGGCTCCTTCTGCAGAAAGTGACTAGCTTCAGCACATCTTTTGAAACGAGGAAGAACAGCATTATGCTGCTCTTCACTTATTTCGGACCAATACATAATACATATAGTGCACCATACTACATGGCTGCTCCTGCTGCCTTTTTCAGCAAAAAAATGACTGATGCTTTACGGCGTTGCTCAGCATATTGGGAGGATCTGGGTTGCAAGCTGAAGGTTTGGACGAAGAGGGAGAGGCGGCATTTTGGTGCTTATTCCTGGAAAGGATGGCAAGCTGCAAGCAGGGAAACAAAACAGAAGAGGCATGCAAATGATTAGGAAAATTGGACAATCATCATAATCCTTATGGCACAAATTTCGTAAAAGCTGGTGTCAAACAGTGTGGACGGTACACCCAGCCGCACAGCTCACCTTTCCACGGACAATACTAGGTTGCGCTTCAGCTGCTGCAGCAAGTGGCTGGAGTCATGTAACTGCATTCACAAGCAACAACAAACACACACATCCTTTCTGCTGAATGCTGCTGGTTATTCTACACAGCACGGCGTGCGGCATGGCATGGTATATGACATAGCATGACATATATAGTGTGGTGTGGTACACTGCACACCTTGGTTGCAAGGCAAACAATGATGCATTGCATCACATGGGACATCCAAAGCATGCCTTATTACAGGAACAGCAAGGCGGGAATAAAATTCTAAACAAGAAGAAAAAGAAAAAAAAAAAAAATCAAACACACACCTTTTGCAGTCGGAGAGCCTCCTTTATCTTCTCAATGAGCACTGTGCTGTGCGCCAGCCACGCCTCCTGCTCCACCGGCACACTCCACGGTACCGCAGACGACAATAAAGGGGACGGCAGCGACTGCATGGCTACCGGAGGTGACGCCATGGCTGTGAGCACTGATGTAGGCGACACTGATGAGCCAGGTGATTCAAATGACCCTTGTGCTGCCAGAGATGGATGTGACAGGATTGGGGCTTTAACCCCTTTATTGTGAAGCGCTCCACGTGCTTTTGATTTCTGCTTTGATTTCTGTGCCTGCACCCCCGGCTGCACCCCCTGCTGCTGCGCCCCCTCCTGACGTGGTTCCAGTTGCGAAATCAGGAAAGTGACATCTGCGGCATTGGCGGCATCAGCAGCACCTGTTGCAGCAGCAGCAGCGGCAGCAGCAGCCTTGTCGCAACCAGCACCAACACCCACGCCACCATTCATGTTGTCTGTTCCAAGGGCCGTGCCCTCTAAAGAAGCCAAATCCGCTGTAGCAGCAGCAGCACCAGTGGGAGCAGCAGGAGCCACGGCTACTGGCGCAGGAGCAGCAGGGGCAGCAGGGGCAGCAAGCGTATTAATGCCTAGCAAGCAGTCAAGCGTCATTGAGAGCGCGTCACAGAACTCACTAGGTGGCGCACCACTCGCGCCCACACCAGCATCCCCATCCCCCCTCACGCCCCCATTCCCCCATGCGCCCCCATCCCCCCATCCGGCCCCTTCCCCTCCCCCGCTCCCTCCTACACCGCCCTCTGCTTTCTCTGGCGGCGATTCGCCCAGGCCCTGCGCCAGCAGCCTGTCCTCCTCTTTGACTGCCTCGTTATGCGCTGCGACGCCTAGCGCCGAGTTTTCAGTCGACTCAAAAAGCAGCCTGTCCTCCTCTTTGACAGCCTCGTCATGCGCTGCGTCCACTGCTGCTGCTCGCGGCGAGCCTGTGCTGCGCTTCTTCCGCGGGGAAGCGGCCTGCGGGCTTCCGAGCTTCCGCTTGTGCTGCTCTCTAGCCTGGGGATGGGGGAGCGGGGGGTGCGGGCGTAGCAGAAAAGCGGAGGGGGGAAGAGGAGAGCGGAAAGTAACTGGTTTCCGCTTATGGGGAGGAGGGCCAAGCGGAGGCTGGGGAGGGAGCGACAGGAGGGGGCGGGCGGAGGTGTGCGAAACGAGAGACGGGAAACGAAACAGCACGCATGCGGGAAAGAAAACGAGTGAGAGGAAAGCACCATTCCTCTTGCGGCTCCGCCATTAACGCGCCATTGACGTCAGATGCAATGCTGGCAGCTGTATTCTTCTCCAAGAGGTTTGCGTAAGTTTTTGCCGCGCAATGTGGCCTCTTCGACGCGCAATGTGGCCTCTGCGACGCGCAATGCGCCCTCTGCGTCGCGCAATGTGGCCTCTGCGACGCGCAATGTGGTCTCTGCGACTCGCAATGTGGCCTCTGCGACGCGCAGTTTGGCCTCTGCGACGCGCAGTGTGGTCTCTGCGACGCGCAATGTGGCCTGGGCGACGCGCAATGCGGCCTCTGCGTCGCGCAATGCGGCCTCTGCGTCGCGCTTTAGCGGTTCCAGAAGCAGTTGCGTCTTGACCAAAAGGGGTTTGTAGTAACGCTTTGGTGTTTCATACCGATAAAGAGCGAGTGCGACACTAAATTAAGAATTTATACCTTGTTGCGCCATCTGCAACGAATCGCCACATCTCTAGCCGTCTTGCTCGGCAGACACGCGGCCACTAGCAGGTACCACTGTAACGGAGACAACTTGCTATCCGCATGCCTGGTTTGAATGGAAGAGTGGATTAAAAGCAAGACAGAGAGGGAAGGGGGCGAGAGGGTGAGAGAATCATAATGGCCACGGGACAATGCGGCTCTTGGGGGAGGGGGAAGCGGGCTGCGTAGAAGCGGGCTGAGCAGATCACAAGGAAAGGGGGAACGGGGAAGCGGGCTGCGTGAAATATTGGAATGCAAAAAGGAGCGTTGGGATATCGTGTGTTAATTTTTTTTCTCGCGACAACGGAGAAGCGTCGTATGCGAAAGCATTTTGCGAGCGAAATTCGCGAACCTCGCCAATGCTCGCTGCAGCTCGCGATCTTCCTCCGGCGACCACGACTGCGACAGCAGCGGGAGATGCAGCAGCTCCGCAATCGGCGCTGAACTCGCCCGGACACTCCGCGTGCACGTCTCCGCCATGGCGATTCCCCCCGGCGCTGCCGCGGACCCCGTCGCAAGATCTCCTCCCGCTGCGGCAGGGCGCAAGGGGTTTTCCGCTCGCACGCCGGACTGCGCGACGGCTCCGCGTGTGCTTTCTTGCGCGGTCCGTCTCACGGCGGCCGTTCGCGCGGCGGACCTTGCTCCAGTCTTTTCAGGCGACAATGCCGAGCGGTTCGGCTTGTGCTCTACCGAGAGAGGGCTGGGATGGGAAGAGGGAGTCGGGACGAAGTGAAACGGGGAGCGATTCGCGGCTCGGTCGGGAATTTCACGCGGCGTGAAAGGCGCGGAGAAGCCGTCGACAAGACACGGACCGCTGCTGGACGGCATCCCGACAATGTCGAAGCGAAGTTAATAATAATTGACGTATGCCGCACCTGAGTCCGCCAGACTTTCACATTTTTTATTTATCAAGGCGCACCACTAGAGAAGTTGAGCACACCGCCCAGCACTCGTGAGCAAACAATTCACGAAGCGAATGAGGATGGTTTGGAGATATGCGAGAGCAGCCTTGACAAGAGCTCTCAGGCCACTGAACAGACACTGCGAGATTGAAGAAGAGGGGAACGATCTATCTGTCAGCTCCTCCGTCCGTGCGATTTTGTCTAGCAGCAGCCACAACCGATACGTGTGGAAGTATTGATCGCATCGTTTCTGCCATGCCTTGAGATCTGTCCAGCTTGGTTTGAATTGCCTCGAAATTTGCGACGTTCTGCCCCGCCTTTGGGATTGCGCGGCAGAACGACGGGGGAGAATATTGCGGGGAGCGCACGTGAAGGGAGGAGGAAAAGAGGGGGGAAGTCGCGTCGGGGCGGAGGATGCGTGCGGTGCGGCAGAACCTGGGGGGGGGAAGTCGATGGTTGCTCCCCGCGCGCTTGAGAACGCAATGATTAGGGGGCAGAAGAGGGGGAACGAAGGTCCCACTTCCCCTCCTCTGGTGAGTGAAGGGAATGAGGGTGCGGAGCGGAAGAAAGAATGTCCGCAGCGCCAGGGGAGATTTCAGCACGAGTTTGCATACAGTTTGCAACGAACGGCCAGATGTTGACGAAATCCGAAACGGACTGCTTCGATGGAATTCTGCTTCCAGCGAAGCAGGAGGGTTTCCCGAAGGTCATGATCCACGGGGCATCTTTCTGGTCGGGGCGGGGAACCAGACGGAATTTGGAGCGAGAACTGTTCTGTCGGATCAAATCAATCCACGTGCAATCCGCGTTTGCACTGTGCACCTGATTTCTCAAGTTCTGCCCGTCCGTCCATCAGATGCTAGTCTAGCATAGCAACCATCCCACCGCATTCAAGGGTTGCTTCGAGAGGGGAAGACCAGACGATCCCTAAGCACACGGACTGTAAAACTCCTAAGTTGTCTGACAATCTGTGAAATCCCTGCAAGAGACCAGGTTCCACTGTGCTGATCAGCGGGCCAGCCGCAACGACATGATTGATGAGGGGCACCATAAATCGAAACATCTTGACAAACCGCTTAGCCTTGCAGCATTGTCGCAAACGACACGGCCAGTGGCAAGGTCCACTTTCCACCTTTTGCCACGCTGAATCTCTTCAAAATGACGTGTCAATACGCTGTCACGCGATGCAAGTGGGCGTAAGTGCGTATTTCAGGAACCGTTAACCACTTACAGCTGCAATGGAAGACTATATATGTTATGAGTTGTAAAAGAGAGTGCGCAGGTAAACGAATAACGAGACTGTGACTGAATGAATCTGAGAATACAATGAATGCGAGAACTAATGTAGGCTAGCCTAGCTAGGAGGAAACCTCGGACGAGCGAGGTTGGGTGCAGGTTTGGCGATGGGAATGCCGAAGGCGACGCGAGGAGCTTCGGCAGCGTGGAAATCGCCCGATCGTGCGAACTCCGAAAATCGGGTTGTACGCGCAGCAGTCAACCCCGATAAGGAATTCGAGAAAGTTCCTTACACCACCCCCCCCCCCCCCCCCTTAAGAAAGGCGGTCAATATCCGAAACACGCTTGCGTGCCAAATAATCACCAACAAGTGGCGAGGCGTCGAGCGAGGCGGATGGCACCCACGTGTCGTCCTCACTGGTGCGATCAGTCCAGCGGATTAAGAAATCCACGTGTCGGCCAGCTGCGTCAAGTCGAACCCGATGAGCGAGAATCTTCGATGGATCGAGTGTCGGCTCCGGGACAGGTCGAGCTGTCGGGACGGCTTGCCGACGTGCGATGTCGGTCGTGGCTGGCACGAACTTGCGAAGCAGGCTGACGTGGAAGGCGTCATGAATTCGCCAGTCGTCCGGTAGTAACAGCTTCGCGGTGACAGGTGTCACCATCTTGATAATCTTGAACGGTCCGCAAAATCGGGGCCGTAGCTTCGATGGGCCGGGCAGATGCAGGTTCTTCGTGTCGAGGAGCACTAATTGCCCAGTGGTCAAGACGAGTTCCCGGCGTAGGAGGTCGGTGTACTTGCGGGAAGTAATATTCGCTTTGCGAATTGCGTCTGCTGCTTTCTCGCGGATGTGCTGAAGTTCCGTCACGAAAGTTTGGGCTCGTGGGACCGGGTTGTCGAGCGAAGTTGCCGTGGGCACCGTCGGATCCATCCCGTAATTCAAGAAGAACGGGGAGTGATTAGTCGTGCTCGATGGTGCGTTGTTGAAGGCAAACTCCAACATGGCGAGGGAATCTTCCCATCGTGCGGGGTCGGGGCAGTTTGTCCGTATCAGCTGCTCCATCGTCTGGTTGGTTCGCTCGGTTTGTCCGTCCGTCTGTGGGTGGTAGGCCGATGAGAACTGTAGCTTCGTGCCGTACTGCGCCCATGTTTCCTTCCAAAACTTGGATGTAAACTTCGGGTCCCGGTCGGTGATGATCGCCGAAGGGATGCCGTGTAGTCGCACGACCGTTGAGATGAAGAGGCGCGCAGTTTCTTCGGCTGTGATCGTCGTTCGGCATGGTGCGAAGTGCGCCATTTTCGTGAAGCGATCGACAACGACGAGGACAGCGTCGTTGCCGGACGGCCCAGCTGGCATCCCCGTGACGAAATCCATCGTCACCTGTTGCCACGGTCGTTCGGGTGGCTCGAGGGGTTGCAGCAGCCCAGCTGGTCGCTGACGTGTCGATTTCATGGCTTGGCACACCCTGCATGAGGACACATAACGCTGCACGTCGTTAGAGGAATCGGGCCAGTAATATTGACGGTGCAGTAATTTCTGGGTTTTATCAACCCCGAAGTGTCCGGAGTAGTTCGAATCGTGGACCTCCTGGATGAGGAGTTCACGCAGCAGCCGGTAAGCGGGGACCCAAATCCTGTCGGTGCCGGCTTTTAGGTAATAATCCCCCTTCTGCGTCGTGGCCTGCTGATGATTTCCTGTCGTGAAGAACGGGTCCGTAGTGTAGCCGTGGGTGAATAGTCCTGTAAGTAGCGGGTTCGAATGGGTGATCAGTACAGCAGCGGATTGTACGGTCGGTCTGGTCAGGGCGTCGGCGATGTTATTCGCCCCTTTCTTGTACGTGATGCGGTAGGTGAAGTGGCTTTCCATGTAATCCAGCCACCGAATTTGTCGCGGGTTGAGGTTCGGTTGAGCTCGCAGGTACTGTAGGGACTTGTGGTCCGTGCGCACAGTGACGTCGGCGCCCACCAGGTAGCATCGCCACAGTTTAAACGCGTGGATTATGGCGAGCATCTCCTTGTCGTGGATCGGGTAGTTGCGTTCGGCAGCTTGCAGCTTGCGTGATTCGTAGGCGATCGGCTGCAGCCCGTTCCCGAAATCCTGGAGAAGCACTGCTCCGATGGCGAAATCAGAGGCGTCGGTTACGACTTCGAACGGCTTCGATGGGTCGGCGATGCGCAGCACAGGAGGGGAAACGAGAAAATTCTTGAGCTCCTGGAAAGCCACCTCTGCTTCCTCCCCCCACACGAAATTCTTGTCCTTGTGCAGCAGGTCGGTCAGCGGGCCGGTTATCCCCGCCATATTCGGGATAAACCGCCGGACGTAATTCACGAACCCCAAAAAACTCTGGAGCTCCGTGACATTAGTCGGGGCCTTCCACTCCTGTATGGTTTTAATCTTCGCCGGGTCGATTTTGATGCCGTCGCGGGAGATAACGTGCCCTAAAAACTCCAACTCCTGCTTAAAAAACTCGCACTTAGAGCCCTTGGTGATGAGCCGGTTCTCTTGCAGCCTTTGAAAAACTGCGTCCAGGTCGCGGAGGTGTTGCTCCCGTGTCTTGCTAAAAATCAGGATATCGTCCAAATAGACGATGACACATCGGTCTAGAAGATCGCGAAAAAATGGTCAGTTGAAATGTCGAAGGCGCGTTCGTGAGGCCGAAAGGCATCACCGTGAATTCGTAACTCCCGTAGCGTGTACGAAACGCGGTCTTGTGACAATCGTCGGCGAAGACCCGAATCTGGTGGTAACCGCCACGTAAGTCGATTTTCGAGAAGTAGCGAGCGCCGCGAAGTTGATCGAGGAGGTCGTCGGTGCGTGGGATTGGGTAGCGAGACTTGATGGTCACCCTGTTCAACGCGCGATAATCGATGCACATGCGAAGCCCGCCGTCCTTCTTTGGAGTGAACAGGATCGGTGCCGCGAACGGGGAGGTGCTCGGCCGAATGAAGCCTTTCTCCAACAGTGCAACAATTTGTCGGCGTAGTTCCTCGAGTTCCGGCTGGGTCAACCGCCACTGTGTCCGAACAGTAGGTTGCGCGCCAGGTTCCAGCTGGATTTTATGGTCTTCGGGTCTTTCGGGTGGCAGCCCAGGTGGCAGATCGTCCGGGAAAATGTCGGGGTACCGTCGAATTAGCTCCGCTAAATCCGGAGGAACAGCTGCACACAGCTTTTCGATGTCCTTTCCGTCGGTGTCGACTGCCAACTCGCGCAAGCAGACGGCGAACAGCTGCGCACCCCTGTTGAAGTGGTGGGCGATGGTGATGGCTTTGACGCACGGGGCTTGTATGTAGTCAGGTGTCCATGCAGGCAACTTAATTAGCCCCTCGTGCTTGCTGACGCAGCACGATCCCGTTGTCCAGTCGATGACGGGGTTGTGTCGTCGCAGCCAATCGCGTCCCAGCAGCACGTCGCAGCCATCCAGCGTCGTCGCGAGGAACTTCATGCTGAAGCCGAAATCTTCGCCGCACTCGATCCGCACCGTCCGTGTTTCTTCCGTTATCGCCAGAGGCGTCCCATCCACGAGTCGTGCGTCGATTTCGGGCAGACACCTGTCAAGTTGCATGTTGCATTTTTTTGCGCTCGCCAAGTTGAAGAGGCTATGGCTGGCCCCTCCATCGACGAACATTTTCAAATGATGTTTCCCCACCTTGCCAGCGACCAGCACAGGGTGATCCACATGGTTATCCCCGTTATTCGGCCGAGTGCGATCGATTGCATGAATCGGAACCACGACTCGGTGGGGATGGTGGTGTTCGGGCGACGGAGCACAGTCAGTAAAGGGCCCGCTACTTACTGACTCTTCCCATTTCCCTGCTCCTTCCTGTCGTTCTCTGTCAGCGGCATTTTCTCCTTGCATTCGTTCTTCCAGTGACCCACCTTCCCACACCGGAAACACTGACCCTTAGGAGGGCGGTCGGGTGTATGGACGGCGTTGATTGTGGCCCGATGGGTCTGGCCACGAAAACCTCTCCCATCCCTGGAAGCCGTTCTCGCGTACTGCATCAGCGCATCCGTTGACTCTGCCACGCGTACTGCTTCGAGGAACGATGTCGGGCGGCTGCGGCGAACTTCGAACTGTATCTCGTACTTAAGGCCGCTCACGTATTTATCCAACCGCTCAGCTTCCGACATGTCATCGATTTGGTCGGCGAAGCCCATAAATGACGCCGTGTAGTCTTGGACAGATCCCATCTGCGACCATGCACGCAGCTTCATGCGAGCTTGCTCCGAGGCGGATACGTGCTCGAAGCGATCCCGTAAGGCTGCGCCCCACTCCTTCCATGTGCGTATCTTGGTCACACCGAAAATCGGTTCTGCAACTTGATTAACCACTGTAGAGGTCCCGTCTGCCGCATGTGTCACACCTGTCGACGTCCCTGTTTCCAAGGTCCGGCGCCACCATTCAAGTGCTGCACCTCGAAGACTATCGGAGTCGGGCAGGATTGAATTAACAACCTCTGCAGCCAACCGTCG